TGCACTAGGCGCAGCTTTGCCGATAAACGCAGCGGACATGGCTGCTGCTTTCTTGCCGCAGCAGAGGCGCACGGTGAGGCCGCAGAGAGGCAGCAACCGCGGCATGCGCAATGCAGGAGGCTTCACTTCGCCGGGTGCTTATGTTCCCGCCGGGAGCCCTCAGAGCCCAGCCCAGCGAGGGGGGGGTGGCCAGGGGAGCTCTCCGTCAGGTGGTGGCCCGCATGGGACAATGGATGCGTACAGCAGACTCCCATATTCACATCATATCCCTGGCTACCCGATGGAGGGGGACTTCTACCCGTTTTTATGGCCGCAGAGTCCGCTGCAGCGGCAGCATATGCTACAGCAGCACCACTTGCTGCAGCAGCACCATCTACTTCAGCAGCAACAGCACCTGATGGGGTGCTGCTGGATCCCCGCCCTGCAGCAAACTCCAACTGCTGCTGCAGGGGTGCCGCCTGCCAGTACTCAGAGAGGAAATGGCGGCGACGGAGCAACATCAGCAACCACCCCGTCAGCTGAAGGAGAAGAACCCCGGAGAGCACAGCCCCAGCCGCCGCTGCACCAGCAGCTGTATTACGCGCCAGCTGGCTTCGTGTCCCCGCACATGTTCGTCCCTCTGCCTTACATGGCAGCGCGGCCGCTGCAGCACTACATCCAGCAGCAGCCTCAGGGTTTTCTTTCCCCGCAGCAGCAGCAGCAGCAGGGTTTCAGGAGCAGAGGGGGCTACGCAGGCAGGGGCCGCAGCGGCAACCGATGGTGGGGCCCCGGGAGAGGCTCTGCCTCGGCAGGAGTCGTGCGAAGCAATCAAGCTGGAGGTAAGCGCCGTGTGCTTTTCGTGAGTGGGCAACAGCAGATTTTGGAGTTGAAGCGTCAAGTGCAACAAATAAGCAACTGTGATCCTTGTGTGATTTCAGCAGGTGGTAGCCGCGGTGGGGGGAGACGGAGGGGCTCGGGAGCCCCCTGGAATGCAAGAGGAGGTCTTTCGACGGCGGAAGATCAGCAGCAGCAAACGCAGCAACAGCAACAGCAGCAGCAGCTTGGCAGCTCAAGCAGACCTACAGCAGGGACAGATTCTAGCGGCAGCAGCTCGGGTAACGGTAGCGACACAGCAGGGAGGAGGAACCCCGTTGCACCAGCAGGAGGAGCGTCGGGAAGTAGCACTGCGCGCAGCCGACAGCAGCACCTCTCTCTAGAGGCTGCAGACTTTCCTCCTTTAGGGGCTACGACTTTGCCCAAAGCTCCGAAGGCGCATGCACAACGCAAGAGTAAGGGAATGCCATGCTTTACTGCTTTTGGAGCGCACGTTGAATGCTGTTGTGCACAACCGGTGTTGCGCATTGCTGTATCATGATGCAGCCGTTGTTTATTTTTTGCTGCAGCGCAAAACATCTCACGAGCTGCAGAGGCAACGGAATCTGGAGCGCCCACTGAGGCGGCCCAACCTACAATGAACGATGTAGGACGAGGCATAGGGATCGGGGGCCAGGGTTTTTAAGGGAGGACGGATTGCAATTACGAGCACAGGCCTGCAGTTTATGGTTTAGTGCTTCCGAATTAAGGGTGGGTTTTCGAATTCCTGTTTAGGATTCCAGACTCTCGTTTTTCCTCAGGAGAAGAACTCATCATCGTGAACTGCCCTCGAGCGGTGACCTCTTTTAACGTGACGAGGCACTGTGGTGCAGCGGCATCGGCGGGATCATTAGCAGCAGAGTCAGCAGCAGCACTCGGGTTTTCTGGAGGGGTGCTGCGGTTTTTGGCAGCTTGCAGTCCAGGAAGGCCGCCGACTGATTTCTGCAGGGCTGTTGTCGGCCTCTTGTAGAGCTTCATGCTTTCCCTTGCAAGGAGTAAGCAACGAAAGCTAGAGGGGTTTGTCTTGCGCGCACCGGTAGCAGCAGCGGTGTCCACAGTGTTGCAGCAGACCTTGTCGCCGCACGTGTATTGGGAAGCAGCCAACAGCCGTTTCAGCAGAAGTCTCTGCTGATCATCGCCGCAGCTGTTGTGAGCGCTGCCCAGGAGCAGGCTGCTGTAGCAGGAGCAGCAGCTGTGGCCGCTGTTGCCGTGCCTTCGTCCTCGTGTAAAAGAGATACGCATGAAGAGGAAACTGAGTCTAAATTTTCTGCGGAGCAGAGGAGCGAAGCATATGTTTGGGTCCGGAATGGTTTCCTCTCTCAACCGTTGGGGGCTTCCGTTTTTCCATTGTCCTGCATGACTTGTTGGGTTGTCCGACGGTCGAGCAGCATTCATAGGGGACCCCGTAGGTTAGCCAGGACGATATGTTGTGCTTCCAGGGAAGGGCAAAGCAAGCCCAACCCCATTCTCAGAACTAGGGGGCTGCCAAGGCGGCGTTGCAGAGGGTCCTTTGGCCTTGTTTGCAAAGCTATTTGGGTATTGTAGTGGGCGCCTCCCATATTCATCCATGGCTTTGCGGACAACTTAGTAGCTCCCCCGGTCCCCGTAGGAAGGAGGGCTCCCTCTAGAGTACGGAAGGGTTTCAGAAGGCCCCCACCGTTGCTGTTGCTGATTTGCTGGGGATGTTTGGGGTCATCAAGGGGACCCCTGAACGGCTTCTGTGGAAGCCTCGTCTCGTCGTTCATGAATGCGAGGCAGCCGTCAGCTCAACAGGAGGGGGCTTAATGTCACTCCAGGAACCAGCAATGCCTCGCACGTTAGGAGACCCGAAGTATGGATGCAACGATACGTCTACATGCATGAATATACAGTAGGACTATGTATATTCATTGTATGTGCATGAGGCTCTTTAAGATATGATTACGCATACTTGACGTTTCCGCGACAATGATATTACATCGCATGGATGTGGACTGGAATTGTGGCGGCCTTCCCACCAGAAGTAAGCCTGCATGTATTTGTGTACACGTATACATGCGTTTCTGTTCAGACACACATGCGTAGATTTGTGTACACTTCCGTGTACATACGCATTTGTGTATAGGTATATGCGTGCATGCATTTGTATATGTGTTGGCTCACTGGTACATATGCATACTGTACATTTATGTATGTAGGTACCCCCATGATGTACATCGAAGTACATACAGACAAACGGCTATGTGTAACTTCACAGCTGCATGCCGCATGTGTGCACACTACACGCGCCTACTTGAGCGACGCCCATATAATTGGGTCCCACCGGTCTTATGTGGGGTTTAGGACCCTCGGAATTGCCGACTGGTTTATAGTGGCGCCGGGGTTTTGGAGGGCTGTCGCGTGGATTTCTTGGGGCCCAGCCTCCTATCTGCCATGCCGTTTAGGGGGCACCGGTGATAAATCTTGGGCGTCGCTTGCCATAGATTGTTTTGGGAAGCTCTAGCTGCAGAGGGCGTTGCACATTGGGGGTGCTTGCGCAACGTCTCCCCGAGGACTGCTTTTCCTGGGGTCAGATGTTGCGGGGGTGGGGGTCCCATGGGCCACTTGTCTGTTCCTCCATTCAAAACGGCTGTGCAGATACAGTACAGCCGCTAATGGTGTTGCATTTTGACCCCTGCATACCCGTAGATGTTTAGGAGGAACGCCTGTTCAGTGTTGAAAACGATGGAGTTGGATCTAGCTAGGATGCGTATAAAGTGGCATACATTCCATGTGGGCAAGTGGACGCTTTTACGCGTAGTCAGTCCGCTCTGTACAGGCTTGCTCAGACGCAGCTGAGCATGGCCACCACGTAGAAGTACTGCTGCTCACTCCAGGCCCCCGATTTACTCATTTCGATGCTTATAGTGCTACTGACGCGCAAGAGCAAGGTGCCAAAAAGCGGGGGAGGCGCGAATAAAAAGCCCGTCGACATTTGCTTTTTCCCGTTGCTCTGAAGTTAAGCACGGCACCGCCTGTTTTGTGCTGCATCTCGGTGGATAATCAGCTCGAAGCGGGACACAGTTGGCGCACAGCTGCAGAATGCCAGCGCCATGAAAATCCGCTCCTGTTGCCGAAAGCGCACCGGCGCGGTGAAAGTGGTATATCAGCCAAAAGGCAGATTCATGAATGGAGGACCGACGGAGCATTGAAATGCCGTGGTGTACGGTGGGTGAGGCCGTACGGGCAAAGAGAAAAGACCCGAAATGTGTGGAGCTCGCCAGATGGCGAGTACCGTAGCAGTGTGATGTGTACACATGCCTCCGTCCACAAGATGTCTTAATCCCGATCTTGCCTCGATGTGCAAAGTTCATTGGGGCCGCGGTTTAAGCCTCCCCCGCTCCTTGCGTTACTCAGATGTTCGTCGTTGCCTGTGAAATGTGTCGAGGGGCTTCCTTCCATTTTCCCCGCAGCTCATCGTGTGCTTTTGTTGAATCACCAGTCGCCGTCCCGGTGGTGTACGTTGTTCTGCCGTGGTGATCAAGTACCAAACGGTTAGCACCGCCAGCGGGCAAAGCTACGCTGATTTCCACTTCATATACCTCTCATACCCTTGCTGCACAGCCCCTACTGCCCGAAGAAAGAAGCTACTGTTGCTTTGGCCTCTCCACTGCCCGCTGTACAAATTTAAATCTTTACGTTCTTGCCGTAGTTCCGATTTTGCGATTGCACCGGTCCAGTTGGCAATAGAGTTCACATGCGATCATGGGGAACAGTGTAACTCCCCTCATCCTCAAAAGTGCCCTTCCTAGTGCCTCTACACAGTAGGCAAGCAGCTTTGGCATACGCCCTAGACTCCCGTAAAGGTAAAGCCCGAACTTATTCTTTTTTCTACTTATTAATAATTATCTGAAACGCTAGTCGCGGTCTCCCTCAGACTTTGAAATGGTGCGAGACTACGTCAATCTTCCTGCATTTATTGCCGCTATTGCTGCTGCTGCCACAGCCGTTGGTGCTCTTGTCCAGCCTGTTGCCGCAGGCCAAAGTGCAGCTGCAGGAGGCGGCATCCCACAATGACTGAGCTTCTCCAGCAGCTGCCGCTACACATACTTTGCGGTTGTGGTGTGTCTACAGCTCCCTCAACCAGGAATTGAAGCAGAAGTGTTCCAACTTGTTGACGCAGCTGCTCTCTACGTCTCGCTGCCTAGAGGCAGATCAAACCATTTGCTGACTGCGTCTCGCAGCTCCATCCAGGCCTTTTCCTCGGAATCATTTAAAAGTTTTAAGTCCCATGACATTTTCGTAGCTGTCTGTAGTTCATCTCTCGCATGCGCCAGCCGCCGCTGAAGCTGCGAATGCAAACACGAACAACACAGTCGCAGCCACGGGAGGTTAGCCACAGCAGCTCTTAAGAAAACAACCACACCTACAACATATGGCGAGAGCGTCTACAGTTTATGTGATGTTGATAGCTCTGGACAGGCCGGACTCTGCATTTCGCATCAAGCCGATGGTTTACTAGGCCTCAGGCTAAGCTCAGTGACACATACATATACATACACGCGAATACCGACGCAAGAATTTTCGCGGGACTTACCGTTTCAGGCGTTTCCGTGTTCCGTTGTCTCAGCCTCCTTTCGAGCTCCTCAAGTGAGGGAGGCTCAATAAATACAAACCTGGCGCCTTTAAAATGTCGACTCCTGATGATGGAGACGCCCACCAAATCTATCTCTAATAGACAGATCTGGCCTAAGGAGCTGGACAGAAAGCACATAAAAAGACAGCAGAAACCCTGTATTCCCACACATGCCGGCCTGCTTCTGTTGACGCCCTTGCAGCTGGAATTGGCTGTTTCTACAAGAGCTACAACAGCACAGGTAAATCTGCATGCACGTTACGTAACGGGAGAGTCATCCAATGCAAAATGAGAGAAAGATGAAACGAAGGGCCCACATGACTAAGTTACAGGAGTGCGCAAAGAACGAGAAGCTAAGGCAAATCCAGGGGAAAAATGCAGGATTAAAAAATATATTAAGACGGCAATTCAAACCAGGAAGAGCGACAAGAACAGCAAGAAATAATTAATAGGACCAAAAAGAGAGCTGCTCAGCCTCACGCTATCCTCTGGACCTCCGCCACTGAAGTCGCGTAAACATTGCCCGAAAATTCGGCGTGTTCTAGCAGATCGCCTCTGTCGCGCAGAGATTCAATCTCTTCGCGAGAAATGAAAAAATACTCCCGGCCCTCTTGCTCTCCAGGTCTTGGCTGGCGGGTGGTGTGGCTGACTGAGAAGCCGAAAGCCTAAGGAGGAAGCAGCAGGAACAGCAGCAGTAACAAGAAAGCACCTATATGTTTTATCCTATGGTCAATTACAGCTGGCCATGACTCAGACAAAAATACTCAAAACCCACTACTACTACGGACGCCCGTGGTAAGATGGAACATAGAAAGATGCAAAAAGCAGCAGAGAGACGCGCACCACTGATCACGGCTGAAATTGATACGGGGAACGCAGATCAGCTGGAATGAAGTGACAAGGGGAAGGACAACAGCATAGACAGCGAATGGAATCACCCTAGAACCAACGGCATTGGGAGGCAAAAAGGATAATCAGGGTCAGAAAGAGAGCCACAACGGAACATTCTGGGAAAAATGAAAAAAAAGCCCTTATTTTTTCCTTCTCTTGAAGCCTCCCCTGTCCGCTTGTCGTCAATTCCTTTGCTTCCACAGTGTTCACTCAGATGAAAGGCAGACAAACTCACATTTGGCCAGTTAGCCCTTAGCCGCCTGACAAGCGTCCCCTTGCCAACACCGCTGGGTCCTGCTATTATCAGTAGCCGCGGCTCCATAGAAGGGACCCCTGAAACCTCAGACGTCCCAGAGTCAGGGCTTGGAAGGGTCGGCGAAGTCCCAGGTTGCGTGCAGGCGTCAGACGTTGCGATGGCTTGAGGGGCGGCCTGCGTGCAAGGGGCTCCTTTCGGTGCCCCTGAAGTCTGTGCAGACCCTCCCATCTTGAGGGAGTACGAAAATTTGATGCGAGAAAGAGGAGAGTTACGAGTATGTGCTTGAAGATGGCCAGACAGTGTGACGAATAAAGCGCCGCTCTTGCGTCTGCTGTACCAACAGTGGCGCAACTGAAACAGTTGTGACCTAGTGCGGCCGAAAGCAGAAGAACAAAACGCACTAAAATCGCTTACTAGCTTCATTTAATAATAAAATGGAGGAAACTTGTTAACTGGCCTTGCACGGTTTCCACTGCAGAGGAGACCAGGGGCCCTCTTGAGGCCACAGGGCCTCAATAAGACAGCCAGCCAATTTACTGCTGCCAAAATTTGCTGCTACGGCTGGACGGCAGTATATGCCCGTACACAGAGCTAAGTTTTTCAATTTAATAATGCTTACTTGTTACAACACAGAGACACATTTTGCCACGCATTGGTATCTTTCTCCCGTTTCCCACCATTCCTGGCACACTAGAGACGGTAGGCTCGGGCCAAGCTACAGCGCGAGAGTGAACCACACCGTGAGACATACGGCGCTACAAGGGGGTATTCTATGCACCTGCTCTTCCCTCTTTTCCTGCTCTTTATCCTGCTGTCTGCGCTTTCTTGGGATTCGGCCTGGGGTCTCGTCACTCCGGTACCTCTGTTTCAAAGATCCTCGCGGCTGCCCCACAGAACACTGACAGAGGGTGGCAGGGGCCCCCTGCCCTCCATTGGGACACAAATCTGTTCCGTGCATTCTTGCAGGGTTACCAAGGCTCCGAGCTCGCCCGTCCCTTTTTCAGACAGCCCGAAACATCACTTGAGAGGCAGCGGAAGCCACAAACATTCCCCGTCAAGTACCAGTTGCTTGTATGGCAATACACAAGCGGAAGAGACGTGGAAAGGTGCGGAGCTTAGTGGGAGAGAGTTGAGTGCAGCCGGCCATCATCGGCTCTTGAACTGTTCGTCCGAGGCGTCAGTACACCCCCAGTCAGATACAGCGACGCCCATGAAACCTGATGTCGTTGAGATTTACGCTGATGGTGCTTGTCCCTCGAATGGCCGTGTTGATGCGCGTGCTGGGATCGGCGTGTTCTTTGGGACAGATGACCGGAGGAACCTGTCAATGCCGTTAGTGGTGGGTCCTCAGACCAACCAGAGAGCAGAGCTTGCATCAATTCTTGCTGCACTGCTTCGGTTTGTAGACTATGACGACGATTCAGCAAAGCAACACCCTTCTGGCAGCAGCGAGGTGCGTTTGGTAGTCATCAGCGACAGCTCCTACGCCGTAAACTGCTTGGGACCTTGGGCTGCGCGCTGGTGCCGAAATGGGTGGATAAGTACTTCGGGGAAGCCCGTAAAGAATGCAGATTTGATTCAAGCGATTCTTCTTCTGTGCGACAGAAGGCGAAAGACAGCGCCCTCGGGCGCAACCTGGCGTGGGAGTGTCGAATATGAATACATTAGGGGGCACTCTGGAGTTTACGGAAACGAAATGGCGGACAAGCTGGCTGTGCAGGGCGCCAACAGCGCCTGGCCAGCGCATTCCCTGGCCAGCGGGGCAGGTTTCACTCAGGGCCCTGAAGAGGCTGAAGGGGTCCTGGAGACATTTACAGACATCCTCAGGAGAGTTCGCTAAAATGTGTGGTAGCTTCCTCCTACAGTGTGTAGTAGAGACCCGGCAGAAACTGCCAAAATATCTACTGTTGCGAGATACGCCTGGGCGTACGCACGCAGCGCTCCAAAATTGACAGTGTGAGCTTGTTTCGGTTCGGTGGTAATGGAATGCAGGTGACAACTGACAAATGCCTACACAGTAGATTGTCAAGCCGTAGTTCCTTGAAGACTACACCGAACGGCTAACAAACTATGCAACAGAATAGGTACGCTTATGCAGCCGTGGTGTCCGGACCTAGACTCGCGCGAGTTCCGATGCCAAGAACCTACCCAGTGAGAAGACAGTGCATTCGGAGTGTGCTGGGCCGTAAACACCAGATTGTCCTCGTTGCATCATGCGGAGAGCACACGGAAAACTACCGTGCGGGCGAACCCACTCCAGGGCGTAACAAGCCTGTGTACGCATCCTCCTACGAAAGTAGGCAGCGACAGCTCGTTCCCTAATTTGCATATCTGTGAGCCTAAGAGTAACAAATACCTAATGCGCAGCGCACCTGCGTCTTGCAGCGTTGCAGCTCATAGGACACATAAATCGGTTTTGCAGGACCGCTGCTGAACAGCCACTATTGCGCACTGAACTTCAGTGCCCCACTACGCAGAATAGTCTTCTGCGCATGAACGTATGCCAGCCTAGCGGTGGCCAGCTTCGCTTTCTACAAATATCGTACTTATAGTTCCTCGAAACGCGAAAAAAGCGGCGATGCGCGTTGAATGCAGTTATAAAAATATGGCACTACTGAACAAAAACGTCTCTTTGGCAGCACTTAACAGCAAGCAGCTGCGACATCAGTAGTACTCCTCTACTTATTGCAGCAAAGCCACCCGAGATAGAAGAACCACTCAGGGTTACCCACTCCCCCAGAAACTCTTGCTGTATGCGCCAGGTTAAGTTTTCGGCCCACGGACCTTCTCGGAACCTCTCCAGGAGGGTGCCGCCACAGCATCGCTCGCTGGGACGTGCAAGCGGAGCCCTGTCAGTCTTCCGTGCAAACACGACACATTGCGCCGTGAGGTACTCTGGACGGCCCGGCACTTTGGCCAACTTCTGCGACGCAGCTGCTAACATGCAAGCGGCAATACACTCGGTGCGCCATGCAGTTTCCACCAACGCCGCTCTCTGCTGAGCCTCCGAAAATGCATTTCCTCCGGCCGATGCGAAATAGGAGAGTATTAAAAGTCGCACAGTAAAACTTGCGTAATGGTGCAACAAGAAAACGGGAAGAAAAGCCCTTCAGCTCTCTTGCGCGGTCATTTACTTGTTGATGCGTCAGTTGGTTTGCTGTAGCTGGGCCCACTTCCCTGCCCATTGCTCAACCCCGTCTTTTTAGCTTTTACGTCTTCCCCTTGGGATGCTTGCTGACACTGCTGCTGTTGCGGGCGGCGAAACTGGCCTGCCTGTGACTCGCGGCGTGTGTATGGTGGTGACGACTGTTTGCCGTCGTTTTCTGTGTATACGCACCTGTCTCTACGGCACACCCAGGCTGCTGCAACAGTAATGTCATCTTCTTTACCGCCACTGAGCAGCCCTGCTAAGAACATTGCGTGCGCTGGTGAGGCCTGATGAGCCCCGGTAGAGCCATCGGGTGTCTGGACAGGTAGGGACTGTTTGTTACAGCACCGGCGAGCCTCCTTTGAGAATGGAGTTTGAGCGTCTCTGTCAAGAGACCGCCAATACGCTGCAAGGGCCAGGGCGCGAGCAACATCTTCGGGCGGAGTCGCAAGAGATGCATCGCCCAGAAGCGTCTGTGCCTCATGAGGGGAAACAGCAAGGCCTGAAAGCAAGATGCACACATGAAAAACACGCGAAAAAGAGCAATGGGGAAAGAAATAGACAGGAAAGTCGGGAATTCAGGCAATACAGTTTCAGCGATGAACGCCGTTTCGGAACAGAGAGAAACAAAAAAAACACCGAACTGCTGACGGCATGCACAGTATAGTATGAGCTCAATACACACTCCCCAATGCACTGCACTTTCAACAGGGAAATGTATATTATCCTTATCTCCTTAACAGTTGGCACGAAGCTTTACACGCTAAAGGCTAGGCCCAATAATCTGACACATGACTTGCCTGTTAGCGCGAGGGCTTCAAAATCAAACACATTGTCGAAGAGCCCATCAGTTCCAAGAATTATTAGGTCACCGTCTTGAACAGGGACACTAGTAGACTGTATTGCTGATGGCTCGTCGCCTATACGCCCTCCATCCCCTTGGTCATACTCCTGCTTGGCTATGCTCACCAGTCGGGTAAGGCCCTGCACGAAAATCCCGACAACACTAGGAGGCGAAGCTGAGAAAACGGAAAACAATTGGACCTGTTTTTTCTTGTTGCTGCCCGTCCCGTTCCCTGCTAATCGGTTCTCCTTGCCTGAAAGGCAATTCTCAACAGAGGGGAAGACCATGAAATACAGCGACAATGGAAACTTCCCCACACGTATGCTAGGAGGAGAGACTGACAAGCTGATTCATCTACAAATCAATGAATGACCGTGCCCTAAAAGAAGAAAGAAAAGCGGAGCAGCACACGGGAAATGAGGCCTACCCTCTGCAGAAGCTCATCCCACTCTTCCGGGGCCGGAAGGTGCGCGAACTGAAAAGGAACATTAAATCCATGCTGCATCTCCTTCACTTTCTTCACCAGACTTAGCTGGCCCAAAGAGCCCCGGACGCGTGGACGACGTAGAACCAGACTGCTACTGTCGCCCAAGTTCGCAAGGCCTAACAGATCATAAATTCTGGAACGCAAACCCTACATGTTTAAATTTGGTCAAGCTCCACATATCGGACAACTACTGACGTTCCCCCACGTATAAGCGCTCCTAAATGCCACGACAGGCATTCGAACAAGCTGCTCATGAAGACAATATTGTCACACTTCTCTCAAGCTCTGGTGTTCACAAGTTTACCAAAAATTCCAGTCTCTCCGTCAAGGACTCCAACGATTGCTGTACTGCTTCCAAAATTGCGTGCTTTGTGGTATGCTCGTGTTAAAGCTTCTTTCGCAACATCAGCTGGGTTGCAAGTTTGCCTTCCCGTTTGTGTGCCTGCCTGAGCTCCTCCGCCCGTGCCTTCTGTCTCGGCCTGCTTCGTCCTGCTCCTTTGCTCTGTCTGGATCTTGCCTATGGCCTCTTGAGTGCCTTGCATTAAATCTTGTGCATATTCTTGAGGGTTAATACCGGCCAGGTCCTCCCATTCCGACACGCCGTCCGCCACCCCAAAAGCGTTGTTCGAAGCATCTAAGAACCAAGCATCTTCACCGCCTCGGTAGCGCTTGTCGTCTCGAGGAATGCTGAATGCCCCTATCCATAGGCACAGGTCTGTGCGTGCTGATACCAAACGCACAAAAAAAAGACATGCACACGTTACACCACAGCAACGCGGCAGTTCGGTTGGGAGAAATATAGTTGCAAATGTTATGTAAAGAAGCATCATTATTTGATGCCACAAGAACATGGCATCCGTAGAGAGCCCTTACAAGCCTCTGAAGGCATTACATATTAATCTGAAGACCACCACGATCAATGAGTGAAGTCTGACCTGGTTCTTCGCTGTCCTGCTTCGGCTTCGCCTCCCTCTGCAAACGAAGTAAGTCCACCTCCGGGTGTCGCTTCGCTAAGGGGCCTCTGAGAAGCTGCACAAGAATTTCCGGGTACTCCCCAAGGCAGTCGCTCATCGCAACATATCTAGGGGCCCCCCTGTGACACCCTCCACCACTTGTGCTGTGTTTGTGATTTATTGCGCAGTGGCCGGACGCTGTTTCTTCTCTGCAGTTGCTACAACCCGACAGACACTGCACAAGCTGCTCTTCCTCAGCTTCAGCGGCGCTGGCCGCAGGACCCAAGCAAAGAGCCCCAAGGTCTCTGTTAAGGCACACAAGGAACAAAAAATCGGGCAGAGACACTTGGGTTCTATTGCCGGCAAAGCGCAAAGGGAGCGCTCACGCATGCAAAAAAGCGCATCACGATGTGAGACTACCTGCTTCGTTCACATTCACTCAAGCATATTTGTAACTACGTGGAGACCATGCTTTGCCTTTTCCCCTACTTCACGACCCATGTGTGCGTCGTTGTCATAACATGCATAAATTTATGTATGATGAACAGGCAGAAAAGGGCAACATCAGCACCGCGTACCTGTGCTGTGTGTGAGCCAGGTACTTCTGAATTGGGCAAGCCCTGACGGTTGGTGGGTCTGACCAACTACACGCACATACAGTTGAAATCACTGTTTTGCCTGGAACACCACGGTTGTTGTTCAGCATTGGCCGTGATGGGGCTGCTGTTGCTGTTGAAGACGCTGGCGAAGGTGTCATAGCTCCATCTGCAACTCCGGTTGTCCCAGCTGCACCTCCCGGACTTTCCTGTGGAGAGCGGATCCACCATCCCGCACCTGGAGCAGCTGCAGCCTGGTCAGCTGGAGGTCCTCTTTCCTCTCGCCTCCCCCGTACGTTGGAGCTGGGACTTGCCGTGGGGGGTAAACGATGGTGCGGCTGTCGGAGGTGCCCGTGGAGACCTCCTTCGGACCACTGGCTTTGCCTCCCATCATGGAACCCTGTGGGCTGTCCGTCGGGTGTCCCATCACATTCCGCGTTCATCACAACGTGCACAGAGGCTCGCCTTGGATTTTCGTCTCCTTTTGGGGTGACGACGGGCAGTAGCTGCACAAATAAACATCGGCAAAATTGAAGCACAGGCCAATAGCCACAGAAACCAAGCTGACAATCAAGGCACGTGCCAAAAAATACGTGTATGTTCATGCATATTCAGACTCAGTGAATTACTTGTTAGCAATCATTTAAAGAAGAAAATATGCTTAGATCCTACAATTAATACCCTAAACCTTCCTCTTTTTACTGCAGTGAATCAAGCCTGTCTGCTAAATGCATAGGCGACGGTTCCTGCAAGTATTCGAGTGGGAATACCCAAATTCATGTGTGGGAGTACGTGCAAATGAAGGTTGGCGCAAATTACCCGGAATATGCTGTTCGCACTACTACTACAGGAGCACACTACGAAGAAACCCATACTACTAGAGTGACCGTGGAAAACGTTATCAACGAAGTACACAGTTATAAAGAGAAAGCTATACACAGGGAGATTAAGGAATAAATGGCTCAGTGAAATACACAAGCAAACATAGCGGCAAACGAGAGAAATACAACGGTACATGCTGCGGAAAAGCACTGGTATGGTTCAAAGGAAGGTGAACACGAAAAATAAGACGCCAAGTGCTCCCATCGACACGGGGACGGAGAAGCAGGCACGCCGCGACAAACTCAATAATGCAAGTACATGAAACAGGCCAACAGAAACTAGCAGACACGAAGGCGAAGCAAGCGAACAGAGCAACAAACCGACGACGACAGTCAGTTAAAGCAAGAAAGAGTCATTCAGCAAGCAAAAAGAGCAAGCGTTCAACAGCATACAGAAGAACGCAAACGAAAAGACAGACAGACAGAAAGACGCATAGGCACACGCAGAAGAGTCACGACTGCAGTGGACCCACTTCTGGATAGAAATGCAGCTGCAAACTACCTCGAACAAATGATCAAACTCACCTTGATTCCAGAGAGTGGCGGGCTGTTCTTATCCCGGGATGCGTGGTCTCCTCGAGTGCCCCTAATGCTTGGGCCACCTAAGGGTGGAAATATGCATGAAGACAGCCTTCCTACTTGGGAAGGGACCTTCACAACCATTGCATGGTCGGGGAGAGACCCGAGGGTCCAGAGCTTTTTGCGGAGAAGATCGTCGCAGTCTCCTCCACATGCCCCTCCTGCAGGTCCTGTACCTTTCCGCCTGTGCGGGTTGTGGTCCTGGTCTTCTTCCTGCCCATGATGTTGGGTTTTCCTGCTCCGGCCGTTCTTCATTGGCATGCGAGTGTCTCCATCCATGTGAAAGGGCTGGAAAAGTGGGTTCCTACCACTGGCCCTGACGCTCCTGGTTCCTGCGGATGCTCCACTCGCTGCATGCGCTGCTGGAAAGTATGCTGAATACTCCATTCTCCCGGGGCACGACGTCGAACGCACAACGCGGCCTGGGGCCCTTTGGTAATATCTGATAGATCCAGAGAGGGCAAAACATGACCAACGGTTCCTCGGATGCCCCAGTGTGGACCCCGATAGGGCGGGAGGTGTGCTGCTTCCAGTGACACTGCCTCTCCCGTTACTGTTGTCGCTGCTTCCTCCGCGCTCTGAAGAAAGGCACTTCGGATGCGCGGGACTAAAGTTCCGTTCTCCTTGATGCTGAGCCGCTCGCGCGACAGAACGAGCTCCGTTCTGGCAGCAAGCAGCCTCTTTTGAGCCTCCATGTTGGTCCACTGGCCCGCAAGGAGACTCCTGGCATCGAGCCCGGACACTGGACCACCAGAGGCGCTGCAAGAAACTCATCATGTGACGAGCATGCGGTCCATGAGTTCCCGGGAGTCCCTGTACCTCCTGCAGCAGTCGTATGGACTGCAAGGACCCAGGAGGCGCCCCCGACCCCGACTCACTGTGGTACGAAGCAGACGCAGCAGAAGAGGCAACAGTGCTGCTAATGCTGCCATTCCGGCTGCTGCTCCTCGGACAATGATTCTGAGGAGATACTTGGGTGTCCTTCATGGGTAGACCTTGCTCTGTGCTAGCGCTGTTGCAAGTTGATAAGGAGAGTTGGTCCGACCTGCCACCACTCCTATCCTCCTTCTGCTTCACACGAACTTGTAAAGTGGCCTGTGGGCCCCAGCCTGTCCCATGGGATGCCCCGTATTCAACAGTATCAGCAGACATCGTGGCACTAATGCATCATGACGCCCACGGCGCTCTTCCGGACACCCCTCTTCGGAAGTGGCGGCAGGCCGATAGTCGTGGTGTTAGGTCTCAAATAAGGGGATGCGCGCACCTCCGCTGGTCTCTGTCTGCTTCTTCGGTAGCTGAGACGCGCGAAGGAGAAGCAGCGGGCTACCTCCACCGTGCTCTCAACATGCGGAGGCTACAAGAGAGTGTACCGGAGATCACGGCATTCGGCTTTCTATGTCATCCACAGATACGGCTTTCCCCTCTAGAGACTCTCAAGAGTACATTGACCACGGAAGGAAGCACAGAAAAGCCTGAGAGCACTCGGAGTTGAAACGATGATGACGGTGGCCACGGACCGCGGGAGTCCTGCGCCACAGACAGGAAGCGCAGCGGTGCTTCAAGTCTCTTGCTCAAATCAAAGAGTTAAATTGAGAAAAAAACGGAATTCTCCGAAGAGGGAGCGAAAAAACACCATTAGAAACGTGCTTCTGCACAATCGCGCCACTGTGCGCTTTTTGCGGCTGGCGCTGCGCTCAGATGGCCGCAATTGCAGCCGCAAATGGCGACTTTTGCACAAGTATGCTTTCTATTAGGTACGTGAAACAAAATTACGTGCAATGGAAGAAAGAAGGCCCATATAATACAGATATATTTGGCCCGCTCAACCCCCTTGTGAAATGCTGGAGTATGGCAGCGGTTAGACTGGCCGCTGGTCTGCCGCTGCATGCACACCGGTCAGCTCGTTGAAGAGCAAATGTTCAACTTATTGCTCACTTGAACGCTAACATAAGAGGAATTTTGCATTTTTCATATCTATTCCATAGCAAGAAAGAAGCTGCAGGCTGAGCCTCCTGTGTGTGTGCAGCTGCAGGTGATCGACAGACGAGGGTGGCAGCAGAAGCGCTGTGTGCTAGGTGAGGTTGAAATTAACACGGGATAAACGACAGCACGGAAGAGACAAAAATGAGAGATGTCCAATCTTATAATAAAGGCACGTTTAGTAGCCTAGTGCTGGAAAATGTGGATTGTCGCTGCACCAGCAGGGTGGACTGTCGTCGCCTGCGTAAGGTCGCATTAGTTTTCGCAATAGCCTTCTTGTAAGCATTTTAAGGTACTGTGAAATATTGCAGAGCGGAAGCATTGTACGATAGTAGAGTAGGAGCCATGGCTTACACGTTGAAGAAAAGCTGATAACCTTGCCGCCGTCGATACTACGGACAATAGGCTTCACTTATTAAGTCTTTTGGCTGCCCAAAAATTCGTCGTAGATACGGGATAAGCAAACTGCAAGATAGCAGTGCAATTGTTGCAATGAGACAAGCAGCTTCATGGTGCGCCAATGGGTTCCGCGCGCTTGAATGCAGCACGATCTCACTTGCTCTCTGCAGCTTTGTATGCAGCAGTTCAGTGAACCATCCTGTTTTACAGCCGAAACTCGGGGATAAAATATAGGTAGGAGACACCTCCAGCACCTCTAACCACGACATATCGCACTAACTGTATCGTGGCTTGGGTCAGAATGTACGAAACAGAAGTTTTTGATAGTCAGTACTACGGTACAAACTTCATTGCGATACGAAGCACACAAGCACCTCACCATTATTCAAACATTTTGCACTTATTGGCCGACTAAGGACATTGAACGATATGCCCTAAAGGACCATAATAGGATGCGCAAATGAACCCTGACTTTTAGCCCATTGTAGATACCTTGGGAGGGAATCAAAGCGTCAAGCCACATGGAGAATCCTACGTCACTTCGGTGAGAGTGAGGATCAGTACTTGACTGCAAATGAATACGGCGAAATGCATATGGCGAACTGCTGTTTGCTCAAATGGAAAATTCAACGGCGTTTCTCTTATCCTCCTTTCCACAGCATTTGGCAAATCTGTATCTGTAGTTCTAACGGAGTTGGCGTTTATACTGTTCTTCATTTAGCAACAACCCACAAAAGAGGTTTCGTTGGCCCTGGCTAATAGGGTTGCTACTCCTCCTGAGCGTGCTTGTAGTCATCAGACCATAACACGATTTCCCCCCCGCTTCTTCTGTGTTTTGTGAAACATCTGGAGAAGTAGGACAACGTCGTTTCGTAAAGTGTTTCGAACTGAATTGGTTCCTCTATCGAAAAACAGTAGTGCTTAGTGAGCTGCTGATATAATTAATAGCCACAGTACCCGTTGTCGCTCCACCAATGGCATACAGCTTGTGCTTGCCTTAGGTTATGGTGAAAGATCAATAACTGATGGGCATCGCTAGCAGTAAACAAGAGAAGGGCGGAGGCAGCATAAATGCTCAAGGGATGGGGCCGGAGAAAGCTGTTCCGGCGGTCAACAACACATGAAATCTCATCCGGGTTTAGTTATATGGGAACTGGAAAGCCCGTGGCGCAGCAGAGTGGGGAGCCTTAGCACGGCAGTTTCTAACCAGTGGAAACTTATCCTACCGTACCGCTATTTGTCGGTTGTTTGCAAGAAGGAAAATTCTCTTCACAGCAGAGATTCACTGATTCCCTCATACGAAGTGGAAAAAGCGGTTTTGCTCCCCGCCACCAGCTGTTTTGGGTAATTAGAAAACAGTAGGCGTTGACGCAAATGAAAAACGAAACTGTCCTCAGTGCAGTTGCTCCATTTACCTCTTGAGTGTCTCCAAAGAGACCAAGGTGAACGGGTGCCTGTGTGATGCCACACGTAATTGAACCTTGACAATATGTACTGTGACGCACATACATCAAACTGAAAAGGAGTATTCTTTGGAGCACGAGCAGTATGGAAACACCGGCACCAGCCCTCAACCCTTTTATAGCACAATATAAAGCGTGTCCTATTTTCGTCGTTGCCGAAAGTATATTCCTAACCTGTTTTATTCCATCCACAAAAGAGCATAGCTTGAACAGTGCCTGATCACTACTTCACTGAAGCGATCAACAGCATGTGGATGCCAAACAACTCATCCCGAATACTAAAGCTGCATAAGCGACTACCCAATTTGTTCACCCTACTGCAAGGTTGCCTTAGAAACCCCAGCCATATGTTAAAATAGCATTCTGTTCCTGTTCACTACCTGCAATCTTAGAAACCACTTCCAGGAACTTCTGCAGTGAAACGCTTGATAGAGCACAACTTCAGCTTCATGTTCTTCGTAAAAAAGTCCCTAGGGGGGACGGCGTCAGATTGACGAGTGTAGGTGCTGCCATGAGACTCAGGGATATGTAGCTTGACTTGCCTACGAAGAAAACTCCACTACTACTTTATCTGCACAAAAAATTCTTTGCCCCAACAGGACAGAGTCTTAAAACCATTTTTAATAGTGCCACGTTGCATTCGCGTCCTCCAGTCTACCTTTCGCACCAAAAAACTCTCTCTCACTCATATTGCATCCAGCATCGGGACTCCAACTTAAAATTAACATGAAGGTAGCTGCTCTCGCCAAAATTTGCCTCAGCTGTGCGGGTGAGGCATACATTCTTGATGGCCACCGTGTAAGGCGTCTTGCGCACAACGGTAGGCTTTCACATTCCTGCCTCGTTGTGGAGGAAACATGCAAAGCCCTCCCTGCAACTGAGAGAAACTCGCTCAGCTGCGGAGACTATATACGCTCACGAATCACACCTGGAAACTGCACGAGTGAGGAGCCTTTTGCTCCATTCCCTGAACGTCTCAAACGCGTTGAAGAACGTGACGAATGCTTGTAGAATAAAACTACGAGTTTACCGCTTATGGACGCCGTCTGTATGCCCCCACAAAAAAGGAACAGTGCACTTCTCTAAAAGTACGAGGAAAAAAATATCGTCTTCTCATCTCTGTTCTTTCCATCTGTACCAGAATGTTCGGGTGCAGCACTGCATTTGTGCCAGTCGCCCTCATTGGCCACTCAAATGTGTTCCCTGCTCCCACGTTTATTGCCTCATTCGGGCCTTCACTCTGCAACGTTTCCCGTCTTCCTATATTGAAGCGAAATGCTGTGCTCATCGGAGAGGAGGATGATCTCCAGAAAATGAGCAACTTAAAACAACAATTCGAAAATTTGCGCTTGCGAACTTCAGTAGATCCCCTTAGGTTGCTGGCACGCCTAGAAGCTCTGCAGCAGAGAGGCAAAAGATTAGCCAGCAAAACAGATTCACCACGAGATAGCATACACGGTTTCAGGAACGCCCGAAAGTTCCCTTTCGACTACCCTTCCTGGGATAAGTCTTCGTGGGACACTTGAACAGTGCACCTGCACAGCTCCTCCACTTGCTTCCCTGCGTTTTGTTTTTTAAGGTCACCCTCAATAGCGCGCAAGGACCCCACAGCACGTCTCCTGTTACTCCAAGGAGTTCCAGATATCGAAAGAAGCAAAGGACCCTGTTCTAATTGTCCTTTATACAGTACCACCGTATAATGGTGAGCCCCAGTGCCCGGTGGAGGGTGTATATCTGCATAGTCTCCTCCTGCCCCGTTCCCTTCGAAGCGGAATGTGGAGGGGATGGAAACATTCGTCTTCACTCCGTGAACCCAAAAGCGAGCCGTCTCATCTACAAATACGGCAGTCGCTGTGTCCGTCGCTGACGTCTTCCCCGTCACTTCTACGATAGGAGACGTTCTGTAGCCCTCGGAAAATGACACACTGCAACTGACTGAACCTCTGTGAGACGAATGCTCTGAAAGCGAAGACGCTCCATTATGTGCCTCCAAGAAAATCATGTCACGGTGGCCGTCGGCTTCTTCTCCATATTGTGAAGTAGGCCACGCAAATTCCGCTCCTTCTTCCTCAAATGCCTCTGTCTCTGTTTCCGCTGTCTCGATTCCTGACAGCGGCGCTGCTGACGGTTGCAAATGCACGTAGTCAAAAGACCCGTGTGGCACCTTGTGGTGGCGTAAGTCCCTCAAACGCGTGGCCCTACTGAGCTGCACTGCTCCTGCCGACGGCGAGCGATCGCACGCGATAGTTAGGCACAAAGCCAGGACTCTCGCTAGCTGGAATCTTTTAATGTCCTTTGAGAAACTCATTTCAGCAACTCACTAGAAAGAAGAACAGAGAGCAAAGGGGCAGTTGGCTGTTGTGGTCCAGCTAGGGAAGAGTGACCTGTGAAATGGGTGGTCCTCTGCCTCGTCTGGTGCAAGCAAAGCCGCACAACTGAAGGCAGAACCTTTCAACAGGGCTTGGATTTAAAAGCAAAGTCTCAGAAGCAGCACTGTCGAAAAGTGAAGCCAGGCCAGAAAACTCAACAGCCACAGCAAAATCGACGGTGGGTTAGTTGGGAGAGTGGGCTGCGGTCTGGTCAGTCCTCTCTGGTCGAGCAGTCTGCACACTATGATTCTTAAAAAAATCGAATAAAGCGAGCGGTTTGCTATCTGCTAGAGAAAGTAGACACATGGGACTGCTCACCGAGGTAGCGGTGATCTCGGCCAGTAGACCACTGGAGTGTGCCCATATGGGCAGCTCCGGCGTAGGGAGCGTATTTCCGCCTTCCACCGCTTTACAAAGTTTTTTTCTGCTTATAAGACGATTATAATACCTTAGAAGCACGATGTAGAGGAAACTTCAGCTGATATAACGCAGGGGCCGCGTTACAGGCCGCGGATATCAACAACTGCGCAGCCTTACTGCAGACGCCTACTCACTGAAAGGGCTAGACCGCTCTGGCAAGGTGTTCGAAAGGAGTAATTATGCAGCTAGCATGTCTGTCGACTCGAGACCGTCGGATGCACAGCTCCTCAGTATGTCACTGACTGACATGTGGCCGCTAGCCAGCGGTGCTATCAATACCCCAATGCGGCCAGCATGTCTGATGACTAAAAAGCACCGGGAGTGCAGATTCTTAGTAAGGCAATTTGTATGGTAAGAAACCAATCCACATGCAACAGCTGCAACGTCTCCCGCTCGAAGCGAATATTTGTTGGGCTAACTTATTGCCCCACAGTCGATCCCTTGAGAGGCAGCTCACATGATCTGCAGCATCAAGAACAAATCGTTCCAAGGCCTAATGTAGTGCACCTTAAAGTTCATACCATTAGCGGCAAATATAACAGAGAGGCTACTGCGCCGGGAGCTCACGAAAACGTTAGCACCCTCTAGCACAATCTGTCGAGAAACTCAATTCGGGAACCAAAGCAAAGTCAACGATTCTAAACCCGCCAGCCGCTTGCACAGTGTGTATACGTACATATTCCATTTAGATCCTTTTCAATGACTTGCGTCAGGCCTACAGGTGACGCTTTCGGCGCATGCTTTGCGGCAAGCGTCTTCCCTATCCTGTGCCTCGCTTAGGCGAAGACGGAGAGAGCGCTGCATCTCCTGAACGCTGCCTCCAGCCTCACTTATGATATCTTCTCCCTGCTGCTGCTGCTGACGTTTTTCTGAATGTGGAGTGACGCAGAGGGTTAGTACGGACCAAGTCCCTTGGCAAGGGCTAGTTCCTACCGGCGGAGACTCTTCATCAGTCGCTTCCAACGCTATTGCTGCTGCACCTCCTGTAACCTCAATCAAGTCCGCCGCTGAGGGGCTGAAGTTGTAGTGCATTTCTGTATCTCCCCCTTGAATACACGAATCACTGGGCGCTGCTTTCTGTTCATTTGTCGGTGGCTTATCCTGCTCTCCTTTTTGCACACGGGCCGATCCAACATGTATGTAGTGTCTCACAAGCTCTGCTGCTGTGTTTGCTGCGGCGAGTTTGAGTCTGGGATACTTCTGCTGCATAAGATGCTGGCTGAGGCGGGTGAAGACCGCCCACCAGAGCTCTGGCTCCGCAACGGCGCACAAGCAAATCGAGAGATTTACAAGCACGCTTAGAAGGTTTGAAAGACTCTGAGCAGTTAAACAAAAAAACAAACCGCAGACGCCACACTTCCGCAAAAGTTAAAGTACAGCAGCTGCGGTATTCCAACGCCGACATCAGAAATGCAATGCTCAAAGTAGAACCTGTAAAAATACCGAAGGCAGCGGAAGCGGAGTAATCGACAACTGCGATGGAAATGGGACACCAGGAAATGGAAATGAAAATAACCGACCTGCAAAAAATCAATTTTCAGCTGAATCGAGATCACTTGGTGCCGCACAAACAGATTCAGTAATTCTGTCACACCGGGATGCCCGTTGTTTTCACTAGTGCTACTGTCGCTTTCGCTGCCCTTCCAGGCGGTGAAAACACAAATGCCTTTGACGCTCAAGGGGGATGGCAACCTGATCCATGGAGTAGTCGATATTACTGGAGATGCTGAGCCACTCGACTCTGAACCCTCTGAAGCTTCTGAAAGCACACGCGGAAATGACAACGCCGGCAACGGCGCTTCATTCCGTAAAGACAGATGCAGGGTTGTCTATGAAGTAGCGGCTGCTGTCAACAAAAGACATACCTGCTGATTCTGCAGGCTCGTGGCCGTAGTCCACATCTAGTCTGAGGCATAGGTCAGTTTCTATGAAGCGGAGTAGAGCGGTTACGCCGGCTCTGAGGGCACTCTCCTCACGAGAATTAAGCTGGTTGCTGGTGCGGCTAACTTGAGACCCCACTGGAAGGGTTTCACTCTGTTTGTTTCCACTGTCTTCTTCTGATGAATTATCTTCGCCGCACGGCCCCGCATCCACTCTTTGTAGAACCTACGTCACCCACCATTGCTTCCTAAGCCATAAATTATGAAGCGCAATAACTCAAAGTCAAGTTTCATGAAGCCATGATAACCAGCGCAGAGATTTTCATCCAGAAATTCTCCGTTTGAGACCTACAGAATGTACAATGCCGAGGAGGTCGTCAAACGGCTGTGAAGCGCGAGAAGCACCTGCAACTAAGTGCAGCCACGTGGGGATGTGAGCCACAACTGCGAGCTTGTCTTCAAAGTGCAGACGCAAAAGGCGCTTTGTAATAACAGCAGCGCTGCCGCTGCATGCGCTGTCTGATTTCGTAGATTCTGCTGCTGCTGCTGTATTTCCAGGACTGGAGAGTCTTTGAAGCAGCAACAACCCGTCAAGGGCAGCACTTGCGTCTAGGGCGGCAATGTAGAGGGGGGCTGAGCCCTTGAAGGCTGCCTGGCCTTGAAGCAGGCGGCCAGTAACCGCCTCATGCAGCTCTTTAAGAACTGCTACTTCGTGGACATCGGCAAACTCCCTGCAAAAATAGATAAGGACAGCGGCAAGAAGAGTAGCGTGTGCATCGAATGAAAGTAGAGAGGCCAAAACAGCAAAACCTCAAAAGCTCGACAGAAATTTTCACAAGGCTCCAGTAGTAGTCGCCCTCTTCTTTACGGTGCCTATATGGACCCCTAAAATACAACAAAGAGCAGTGTCTAATGTGAACGTACGATGAGAACCCATCTTTCCACGTGGAAGCGACGAAAGCTGCAATGGTGGAAACAGCGCGACCTGCAGTGAGCCTTTCTTCTCGCTGTGAGAGGCACAACTGCTCCTTCAGTTTTGCCGCAATAGGTGACAGGTAGCGAGGAATTCCAAACGCGTCCGATGAAGCAACCTCTGTCCATAGATCCCTATACACCTCAGAAATAGCTGAGTTGCTGCTGTGACGAAGACAAAAAGCGAGCGCCCCAATGGCTCCACGCAGGTCCGTATTGAACAACTCGCTGGCCCGCCTGAGGAACCATGAGACAGGCGAAAGGGACAGCAACAATGGCAGCAGCAACACTCTTAGGCAGTAATGCGCGTGCTCGGGAGCGGGATCATCGATGTGAAAGTGAGCCACTCGCAGCTTGGTCCGACAGGAAACAAAACACTATGTGCAGGGACACGAAAAAAGGCGATATGGCCGGAGGCATTCAGAACATACCTAGAAACATGCAGAAGGGCATTGCCCACGCCAAGCTCCGTCTCTTCTCTCTCCTGAATGTTAAGACAATCAGGCGGCGGTAGCTGCAACAGCTGCTTCTCCAGAACCTGAATAAAATACAGAAGACCTAACGCACTTCAACTGCAGATGCATAAGCACAAAGGCCCAACGGCAAACAACGGACAGGAGAATGATGCACTGACACGCGATGAGTCAAGAAGTGCGTGAATGGCTGCGAAAGCGAGATAGGGACACTGAAACTGGTGATAACCTAAAGCAGGTAGAATAAAATACGGAGTGGTTGAAGGAGACAGCGGATGAATTTTGGTTGATTTTCAAGCAGAATTCGACGAATAGCTTTTGCAGTCGCCTGCACACTCAACCAGAAGTTTCACCTCTTGCACTGCTTGCGCGGTCGCAAACTTGCAGACCACCGAGAATGCTTCGCCTGCAGCCCCTCTGACGGTAGGAGATGGGTCCAGCAAACTGCGGGCGAAGGCCTTAAGCAAACGCTTAGAATGCATGGACTCTTCAGAAAGCTTGCTGCCCCACTCATCAAACAGCCAGCATACGAAGGAACATACTCCGCATCGACTCGCCACACCAATACTTCCTCGGAGCTTCTGCAATAGAGGAGGAAGCAGGAGACCTACAACACTCAGGTCCATTTGCCGCGCCTGAGCAAGACAAACACTAGTAGAGGAGTCTAGTAGAGGAGTCGCAATGAAGAGCAGCGGCAGCCGACAGCCAGTTTAGCCCGCAAACAAGCGCACACCGATTGTGATTCACAGAAGAAGCACAATGGCAGCAAAAGCACGCAGCACACTGGGGGAGAAGAACGTGTGGTAAAGACTGCAGGAAGATGCTAGGCGGAGAGGGAATAAAACGGCGATATCCTGAAACGTTTGATGGAAAAACAGGTGATCAAAGAGAAGAGGGGAACATATTCCCATAAGATGACATATGAGAAAGCATACAACGGGAAAAAAAGGTAGGTGAGAGGATAGGCGCCACGGGAGACAGACACTGTAATGAGTCCTCACTATATCTTTCAGTATCTTGGCCGCCCTGCCCGTTTGTGAGAGGGAAACTCTCGTTTTTTCGAAATCTTTCTGGGATATCCCATGTAGTTTCTCGGCATGAAATTGGTGGAAGGAGAATGCGCGAGGTTCAAATGCAGCCAAGCCTTCTATTAGAAACAACACTAGCGGCACCAACCAGTCCTCGTTGCCTCTGCCACTGCTATCACTGCTGTTGCCTGCAGTCGTCTCTATACTTGTGCTGACGCTGCTTCCGGACGTATCATTAGGCGCCCTTCTAGAGTGTTTGCGCCTCTGTGCTGCAAAGCAATTGGCGACGCTCTCGCCAAGTACATCTAGACAGAGGATGCGAAGCTGCACAGAGAACGGAAAAAATGAAAACACTGGCGGATCTACACTAAAACCGTCACCGCAGCAGTCGTTTGCTGAGGCATTGGTATTACAGCGGCATCAGCATTTTGCACTACGGTGCCGAAGGGTAGATCTTAGATGGTATTTTCTTCTAGCTGTGCTCCGCATCTTGCCTCTTTGTTTCCCCCGTGAAGCTCGCATATCTTCTGCAGAAGAGACACCGTAGCCACCAATGGGCTCCCTTCGCAGCATACCTCCACAGTGAGGGCCCTCAAGGCCCTTCCCAGAGAAGCAGCTGCTGATCTAACTTCGTCGAAAACATCATCCATACATCGTGCGGCTGACAGCCATAGGTCCGCAAAGTATGGTTCCACTTCAGCCCAGCCATGACCTGGTATGCAAGCGAAAAAGAATACATGGCAGATCCTCCCAATGACGACTTTCTGACACAGCTTAAAGGCAACAGCAGTCTACGGAGCTACGGTGCCCAAATAATAGCAAGAGGAGGCTGCGCAGTCATAAGGTGCTCCTGCAGAGCCTTTTGCAGCGACGCTAAGTCAGTTGCGGCGAAGGAGCAATAACAGATGATCCACAAGCCGCAGTAATTGCAACGCGCCAAAACTACGTTGCCGGACCCCGCCTAAGTACGTCTGCCCCGGCTTTGCAAGCAGCTTCTCTTAAAAGTTGATTGGGCCCCTGTAAATACTTGACAATGTGCTTCACGACTTGTTGCCAAACTGAAAGCCGGGCCTGCTGCTGCTTCTGCTTCTGCCGCAGCGCAAGGATGAAAGCGTTGTGGCTAGCACTGGAGTCAGTGAGATCCGCCACCGAGGAGATGCCGTAGGTCGACTGAAAACACAGCGGAGTATGAGCTAAGCTGGCGATGCACGCAACCCAGTAAAAAAGCTTGAGAAGTACAGGTATGTGAAAATGGGCTGCAAAACCAGACTGACGCAAAACCTAGCGAGAAAGTGATGCGAAGAAAAATGGGCGATTGCGGCCGTGATAGCCTCTACCGTTGTTCTGTTTCTGCAATCTCCTGTACCTCTTTGCACATTCCCCCATTTAAGGCTTCATATTCGTAGTGCTTGCCCAGGTATCTCCTGCCACCTTTGTGTTCTCTATCTCCCTCACGTCTACACAACTCCCTCCTCACTTCGCGGCTGCCTCTGTAGCTCTTCGCTTGCGAAATTGTATCTATTCTCTGCCATGGCGCCCCTATCTTTCTGTTTGTGCTTATATGTACATATTTATGTATTCTCTGCCTCTGCCCTTTTAGATCGGTGCCCGTCCGTGTATGTGTATACGTATTCTGGTTTCAGTCACTGCCTCTTTCTGTGTCTCTGCCGCTGCTCCGTGTCACCTTGCCTGTGCAAGCATCTCCACAACCTCTCTCAGAGGCGCCGTTGGATGCCAAAAGTATACGGAGAGGCCAAATAAAAGAGGCAGTGGACAGCAGTACATCAGAGCTGACACCTGACTTTCCACCAACATCACTTCTAGTTCCTCTGCCGCAGATCGCGATACAGCTCCCTCTGTGGCGCTTCCTGATTGCAGTTGTTCGGCTACTGCAGCTGAACCCGTATCTGCATGAATTGTTGCCGGATTAGGTCCAGCAGCGTCTTCTGCAGTGTTGTTGGGGCCCAGAAGCAAACGTTGTCTAAGACGTGGGAGACAGAACGCCGGAGTAGAGACATCGCATGCGGCAACGCACAGAGGCTCCACAAACAGGGGTGGAAGGGGTTGGTCTAGCAGTGCATATACAGCTGCCACATGTCCGGCATCTTTCGCTGTCTGAAGCAGCAGGCGCAGCAGCCTAGATCTCGCCAAGCCTCCATCCGTGTCTCGCAGCTCCGCTGAAGCGGACCACGGTCCGTCCTTTGATTCCTCTTTCCCACTGTCTTTGCTGTCTTTCGGTTGCTGCTGCTTAACAGAGAAGCCTTGCATCTTCAAAACGTGCTCATTGGGACCAGTGGAAATACGGGAGCCAACGTGAAGAGAAAGCTCGTGTAGCAGAACATCACGCGCCGGCTTGCCTCCTAGTGCGTGTGCTGCCGTTGCGGCTGTTGCTCCAGAATTCGTAGCAGCAGTTTCTGAGGCAGCTGGTGAAGGCCGGCTAGCTGTCACTGTTCCTGGTATGCATGCGGCAAGAAGGCAGCGGCTTAGTCCCCTCCAGGCACAGTGGCCCACAAACGTATCAGCGTCCCCTACTCTTGACAGAAACACTCGCTGCAGTGGCAGCAGCACCGCAGCAATTTCTGGCAAGTGCCTTGCATGCAAAAGCACTGCCGAAAGCCAGCAAACCGCAGAACTGGAAGCTCTTCGCCACAAAGACACTCTCATATCTGGGGATGCAAAGACTAAACGGACGAGGCCTTCGTCGATGCCACTCGACGCGGCTGAGGCTATTGCAGCGTCAATCGCTGCTGCTGCCGCTTTTTCATCTTCTCCAGTTGCTGATTTCTTGCCAGCTGAGAATGCTTCTGGCTGCTGGAGCCGTGCTAGCTCCACCATCATAAGCAATACTTGTTTCACCTCGCCTGATAAGACTGTGCTTTCCTCACGTTGCGCGCCTTCTATCTGTGCTATTCCTGTTGCTTTGTGCATGCGGTGAAGGTCGAGCAGTAGCCGCACCATTGCAAGAGCCCCTGCAGAACGAAGTGGCGGAGCAACGAGAGGCGCCGTCTCAAAAAGACTCTTGAGAGCACGATTATAGGGCCCGCGCCATCCGGCCTCTTTGCTTTCGCTGTTGCTGCTGCTGATCATACAGGCATTCGCTGCTGAAATGCTGGCTAGAGAAGCAACTGACTGCAGCGAGGAATGCAGCACTAGAAGGCCAGTTCGTTGCGAGGCATCTGAATGACACAAGATTCACACGAACAGTACCGCAGTGCCAGAATAACCGCAACGCCCTGCAGGAACCGGGCCGTATTGCAGCAACTGCAATTGTAGCAGCACGCGTCAGGTCTACAGGGCAATCGCCGCTACCTTTCTGGAACAGTTTGACTCACTTGCGGCTGGAAGCAGCATTCCTGTCTCCGAAGCGACACAACGACGCAGACTAGACTTGGATACAGTGACTAAAAGGGACAGCAAAGAGTCAATGGCTGCAATGTCACGGCCTTCGCACTGGTCCTGGGTTTCCTGCTCTTGTTCCTGCCGAAGCTGCTGCTGTATTTCACTTGAGGACAACAGCACAGCCAGTAGAGAGGGTGAATAACACCTGAGAGCTTGCGATAGCGCCTCTAAGCTGCAAAGCAGCAGCGCATCTGCCCAGGGTTGTGCGTACACCGCAAAATCAGTGATTTGGCGCTGTTGCTGATGGGATTGCTGTTGCGAAAAAGTTGCTTTAGCGCAGTCTTTCCCACAATACGCGGTGGTCCAGAGGCTGAAGTGCTGTAACAAAGCTGAGACTGCCTGAGCCACTACGTCCCTGTCTGCGCTGCTGCTGCTGATGCTGCTGCTAGCACCGCCCTCTGCAGCAGAAAATATGCAGCCCGTGACAACTAGGCTCCCAGCAAGCTCCCCAGGTGCTGGCAGCCTGTGCATCTGTTCTTGTTGATGCTCGTGGGACTGTGCAGGCAGTTGCCAGTGCTGCTCCACTTGTCCCTTGAGCCTGAGGTACAGTGCATCAGAGGGGTCGCTTTGGTGTTGCAACTGTTGTGGAATCACTGCGAAGAGTTCATTTTGCTCCAGCTGATGTACGCCAGAGGTGGCCCCTGTAAGAAACGGAAGGAATGCTTTAAGAAGGCCGCCGTGTCCGGATGCATCTTCGCTTTTCTGCAGTTCTTGCTGCTGTTTTTCCTTCTGCTGCTGCACTGTATAAGCCATACAACACAACAAATTAGCTGCAGCCCTGCGCGCGTCTTCTCGTGTTTGCTGCGCCTCCTCTCGAGCTTTTCCGGGCTTTTTTGCAGCTGGAGAATTAGCAGCGATAGAAGTTGTATCCAGTGAAAGCGTAAGAGGTGCGAACAACACCGAAGAAAGCAGCACAGGCACTTGCACAGAGAGAAGTGACAACAAAGATGCTGTTGGCTCTCCCATCTGCCACGGCTCGCGTTGCTGCCACCTGAGAAGTCCCATCCAGCACCGACAAAACGTACACCGCATTGATGCTTCAACTGCTTCATCGGGGTGTTTAGCCACCAGAAGAGGCAGTAGGAGCGACGCAAAAGAGCGCATGACCTCCAGCCCAAGCTCTGTGCTTTCTGCATCAGCCCTTGACTCTTCCTTTGAGGTCAAGCGCAATTTCTTGAGGGGTAAATCTGCCACGGTTGCTGTTGATGCAGATGCTGCACCTGCTGTTCTTGTTGGTGCGTCCTCTTCTCCTGTTTGCTGGTGCTCAGTTTGTTGGTGTTGTTGCCTCTCTGTTCTCATGCATGCACGGAGCTGAAGCTCGTCATGCAACAGACTTGCGAGGCGTTTGGCAAGAGGCAACATGATCTCTGCTACTTGTTCTACAGACGTGTTGGCCGCTGCAGCAAGTTGCTGCTGCACCACGCGAGGTTCCACAGACAGAGGTGAGAAAAAGGGCTGCTGCAACCCTGAAGGCTTTTCAGTTTGGCAGGGCTTCTGCCCACAAAAGCCCAGGCGTGGGAGAGAGAAACGCAGGAGCGTGCTAAATGATGGGGCCTCCCGGCGTGCACATTGCTGCAGCAGATCTCTTGCAGTCTCGGCCACAGAAATCTCCTTTGATGTGCCGCTGCCACGAGCGCTTCTGGAGACTGGAGTAGTGCAGCTTAAACAGATCATGCAGTAAAAGCTGCAGAAAAATGCACCATCGCACAGCTCCGAATCATACAACTTCGTGGTGGCGATGATGCTGTATGCATCGTCGTTCAGCCTCTGCCAATGCTTCGGCTTACCTGTGGCCAGGGTGGTACGTGGGGAAGGCCTTTGTTGCAAGCCGCAGGGCTTCCTGAAGCAGCAGCTGTTGAGACACTGCGAAACTTGGGGAAGCGTTGTCTTCGTCTGTCTCACTAGGCGACTGACTTTCTGCATTCTTGTTGGCTGCTTCGGTTTCTCCGGTTGCTGCTGGGGGGCTTAGCCATAGAGCGAAGGTCCAGTCAATTAAGCAGATGAGCTGTTTCTCGAGATAGTCGTGTTGCTGCTGCAACTGCTGAATCAGTGGTTTTTCTTGCAACATTTCCGCTCGATCCTGCAAGGCCTCTCTGAGGGCGCTTAGGCGCCCAGCCAACCAATCTCCACAACTGCGCAAAGCCTGAAGAACTGAAGGGGTTGTTGGGTTATCCATAACAGCGCTAAGAGAAAGGGCTGCGGAGGCCGCACGTCTTCTTTGAGATTGTGTCTTTGCTCCTTTTTGCTGTGCATCAGCCTCAACAGCTCGGGGCAGAAGCAGCAGCAGCTGCTGGAGTAGCTGCAGCATTCCTTCGGTCACAGCCGACGAAAAGGACACACTCCAAGAGCTGTCGTGTTCCTCTTCCAGCATCACAGAGCAGCTGCCGTCCTTGCAGCTGTTAACATCGTTAACATCGGTACCTTCCCAGCGGCGTGGAACGGGATTAAAAGGACAGACACGACAGGCAGTGGAGACTGCTTCCAACAGGGGAGGGAGCAGCTCGCGAGTTGCTGGCTGCAACAGTAGTTCTGCTGCAGAACGAGGACGTAGGCGTGGGGAGAGTATCTCTTGGCTGAGCTGATAGACGAGATCTGGTGACACTACAGCGTCGGAAGAAAATACTGCAACAGAGCACCGCATGAATTGTTGCAGCAGCAACTCGGCACCACTAAGCGTGTTGCTGCTACCCACAGCGCTAGCACCGTCAGTAGCAACAGGCTCCATAAAGTCAGCAGCAAGAAGCTCTGAAGCTGGAGGTGCCGCAACCAGCAACAGCTGCTCAAGAGCTCGGGCGAAGAAATCCAAAAGCAAACACCCCACGCGTGCTGTTGAGGGACAGAGAAGCTTGTGTTCCAGTAGCTGTTGCTGTGATAATTCTTCTACTCCTCTGGGCTTTGGTGCATTTGCGTGCGCATCGCAGCAGAACCATTTCTGAAGACGGAGACACCATTGCAGTAAGGACAGTGCGGCACTAAAGCGGGCTGTAGGCTGTCCTGTACTATTCCCCCATTGTAGCGCCTGCTGCAGCAATCCCAAGGCTTCCCACTGCAGCTGCAGCACAGCAAGGCAGTGCCTCGTTTCAGCTGATGCTCGACTTCTCCCCAGCTGCTGCAAGAGCTTCTGCAACGTTTTGGTGGGAAGCGGGCCCCGAGTTTCCTGTGTGGCGGAACTTGTGCGAACAGGCAGCAGAGGCGGACGCTGCTGCTGCAGCCGCTGCAGCGGACGAAGAAGAGCCAAGTCGAACAGAAGCTGCAGCAACAACTCGTCGTCTGCGTTGCTCTGCGTCCAGTCCACACATCACGGCAGCTTCTGCTTGTTCAGCAAGTGGAACTGCTACTGGTGCACCTCTGTGTCACTTTCTTGGTTTTGATCTATCTCACCCCACAAAGCGGCATCGCTAGCAGCAGCAGCGGTGTCGCGTTGGCTGGCTTACCCAGCTGTGGGGTTCCCAAACACAAAAGCTATAGAAGAACAGGTATTATTACGGAATAAATTGACGCTAGCGGGCGCGGAAGCAAAGAAGAAAGTGACTGCATCGGGGTTGTCAGCATCTAGGGAAGCAGCAGCGCTCACCGCCGAAGCAAGGCGCGTCAAGGTAGTTGTACAGGGATCTGAAATGGAGGCAAAGGGCGCGCAGCTACCCAAAATTATTGGCGCAAGCATTACTGGGGGTAGGATTATCTTTTCCGTTTGTTCCGTTTTCGTTGGTGTTGTTGTTCGTGTCGACTCTTCCAAACCTGTCACTGTCGCTTCCTCTGACTCATTGAGCGCTGCTTTAGTTTCGGCAGCAGCAGCTGCCGCTGCCCTAGATGATTCTGCAACTTTCTCGTCTGCAACATCAGCAGCCTGAGTGGCTTCCGTCAGCAGTTTCACAGCTCGGGTTTGCTGAAGAACTAACTCTTGTCGCGACATTCTACACCCGTTCACCCACAGCTTCACTATCCCTGCAGGCAAGCCTCTACCCTCTCCTTCAGCAATTGTTGCTGTTGTCTGTTGTGATGGCGCTCCATTTGCAGCTTCTCCTGGTCGACAGGCTGACTCCTGCGACCCAAGAACACTAACGAAGCCGCAGCAAACTGATGAGCCGATCTTTCCCCTGTACGATTGGCGCCGTCTTTCCTGTTCTCGCTTGTGCAAGGCCGTTAAGTCAATGCTTTGCACCACGCGCAAGGCCATTTTCTGGAGCAGCTGCTTCTGCTGCGCGTCTGCTGCTGCAGCTGTCGTGCCAGACCCCCCGTCCAGCAGCAGCAACTCACAGATGGCCAGTAATGCTGCGAGGTAGGACGAGGAAGGCTTGCTGTAACAAGGATATCTGCTGATGTCGTTGCTGCTAGCTGTTGCAGCGGATCTGACTAAAAGTACCTCCGTTTTCTCTGCAGCCAGAGCCTTGAGGACGCGCACTCCCATGGAGTTGCTGCTGCGATTGCTACTGCTGCTTTTCTGCCGTAGCGTCTGTATGACTTGGTTAGCTGTGAGGCACTCCAGAAGCAGCAAGAGCATTTTGGGGTAACTAGTAGTAGTCCACTTGTCGAAGTTGTTTAGCAGCTGCAAACCGAGAGAGCAAAGGTCCTCCGGGGTGCTGCGGGCCGCAGCAACGGAGAGAAACAGAGGTATTACGCCTCTGACAACAGACAAGTTGCTGAGCCGTATAGGTGGGAGCTGCAGCTGTTTCAGGTGCTGCTCCAGCAGCTCCTGCTTCTTGCCTGTGAGCTGCTGTTCTTCTGCTGCAGCAAGGAAAGACAGAAGCTCTCCGGCTGGCACGGGCACCGCTGGTGCTTCTTTAACCCGACGGAGGCAGCTGTTGACAATACTTATGACCTGCATAGACACATGAATAGTATAACGCTCCTTCTGTGACGCACTACGCAGCAATGTATGCTGCTCCTGCTGTGACACACTACACAGCAACGACTACTCGGAAGCTGCGGTTGCCGCTGCAGCGGTTCCCCGTACTGTGACTGCAGCTGCAGCAGTTCCTTAGGCTAAGACTGCGCGAAAGTGACTGCAGGTGCAACATCATATTACGCTGTGGCCGCTTGCCTTCGGCAGGGAAGCTGGGGGACAAGTCATTAGCTCCAGTATCACGCGCGGCAGCAGCTTCTTCAGGACTGAGACAAGCGACTCGTCGCTGCACAGGCTGAGACGCAGTGCCGTCTGCTCGTACTCAGCATGTTTCTGCTGAAGTGCATTGCCGCTGTTTGCTGCAGCAGCAGCAGCTGCTGCTGCTGCAGCTCCTGCGGTCTGTGCTGGATCCATCGGGAGAAACGGCATGCAGTTGGCTCACACAGCCTCCTCCATAGGCGTAGCATCAATTGTGGTATACAATACGTTAGTTACGATTCAATTTCGAAGCTTATGATCTCCGTCAATGGCAAACGGCAAGCCATTTACGTTGAGTGACACTTGCGCTAGCGCTCCGTCTCGTCAGTAGTCAACACTACTTCCTCTTCCAGCAAGTTACTGACCCGGCCTCACCCCAAACAATAAAACATAACGAGTAGAAGGTATCTGGTTTTCTTCCACACTACACTACTGCTTCCACTGTGTCGGCCGCTGCCGAACACATGCAGCCCCGGCACAGCAATGTCCTTCTTAGCATAATATGAAATTTCTTCCGGCTAGTTTTGGCTTATGCTTACCACATGGATTTTTATCCGTGCGCTGTTTTCTCTAAAGGCCCCTCAATTAGACGAAGGAGCACTAAGCGAGGTTATTTAGTGCGGGAAGGAAGCAACGCAGATGCGTGTACTCGAGAAATTAGCCCCGTAGATGCAGGAATACCTATTGTGCAGTGCGCATCCTTTCTTCCCAGCTGGCTTGTATTCGATACTTGGTCGTTCCTTTCCCCGCACGGCTCTTGGCGCTGCTCAACAACATCACCGGGGGCGAACGCCTCGGCAAATCTTGCGTTTGCCACCAACTCGCATTTTCAAGACAAAAACAGCCAAAGAAACGGCGGAAATGCCCCATCGTTTGCTATTCCTGGCAGCAAAAGCTGCAATGCACTAGGTCACAGTATGATTGGGTGCCCTCTGCTGCGACGTGTCTCATGCGGTAGCCGGATGGGCTCCAACTCCACAAGAAACAGCAACAGTAAGACGGCCACCACATGAAATTTTCGGGACGTTCGGGCTGCATGTAGCTGGCTTGACGGAGCACCAAGTCTCGCACGGACGTCAAAGGCGTAGAGAAGCAGCGACACACATATCAGCCAATGCAAGAGCACCAGCAGCAGGAACACCAGGGGGAAGCTTATTGCGGCCAGGAGCACCATGAGCAGCAATCCAGGCAAGTGCTGCAGTCTCATGGGCAGCAAGAGCAGCAGCAGGAGGGTGAACAAGAACACCAGCTTCTCGGCGTGAAGCGTCGTCGTGTGTGCGCTGAGTGCGATCGGCCCTCTTCAGTTTGTTACTGCGACGTCATCAAAGGCCGGGAACTGAATTTATCTGATGAGTCTGTCTCCTCTGTAGTTGAAAGAGTTTTAATTTTTATGCACCCCCTAGAGAAAAAGAGAAAAAGCGGGTCTGTACAAGTGCTACAGAAGCTCATCAAGGGCTTGGAGGTATGGCCGCACAGAAAGCCGGGATGCTTCCCGTTCGCTACCGAGCAGCAGCAGCAACGGCAGCAACAGCAGCAGCACGAACTAAGGCAAGAACAAAAGGCACAGCACGAGATAGCAGCTGAACGCGCCGTTTTTGCAGAAACACCGATTCAGGAGCCGAATGTGTCTGCTCCAACTAAACCTAAAGACAAGAAGCAAGCAAAGCTGCCTCATCAGCATCCCCATCTCTGTACACGGGAGGGGACTGTGTTGTGCGATACCAGTAGGATGGTATTGTTGTTCCCCACAGAGTCTTCTTTTCCCTTGGGGGAAGGGAGTATGCCGTTTCGATTGCCGTTGACACTACTAGCTATCGACGGGACTTGGAAAGAGGCCAAAGAAATGTTCAAAGCCACTCCTTGGCTGCAGCAGCTGCCCGCCGTGCACCTGCCTCTTTTGAAGACGGAGGACCAGGCAGACCACTGTGGTGGTGGTGGTGTCGCTGCTGCTGATGCTGCTGATTCAGTTGCTGCCGACTGCGGCAACAGCAACAGCAAAGACACAATGGAGGCAGTCCGAGTCTCAGGAGCTTACGGGATGATAAGAACGCCACCAGCCCGCATTGCAGCCAGCGGAGGAGTCTGCACGGCTGAGGCCGTCGCGGAGGCTCTGTCCATCATCGGCCGTTGGGCCCGGAGCGCCTCTTCCTCTTTGTTGCAAATTGGTGAAACAACTAGGGAGACACTTCAGCGCATAGTGTCCCTGCAGCAAGAGATGCGAGACCGAAACAAAAACAGGCAGTCAACAGATTGATGCACAAGCGAAAGTACTTTTCTCTCTGTCATACAGCGAGTGCCCTACAGCAGCGCCATTTGGAATCTTCCTTAGGAGAATACTGGTTCTTAGGCTAGTGGGCATAGCCCGACCACTGTAGTGGCCAGTTACAGCGAAAGTGCTTGACCTGAATCTCGCCAAGGCCCGTCCCTCCGTATATGGTTCGCTGCATTTACGCGCTGCACTTACCTGGAAGTACGGCGAGCATGTCTTCTCAACAAAATCTCCTGCCGCAAGCTCCGTGTCGCGTTGGTTGAAACGTGAGCCCTAGCATAACGTGTAGATCCTACAGTGTGTAGATTCTTTGTTCGGGCCGATCCTAGTACCTGCAGCTGGGGTCTTTACTTTAGGAGGGAGAAGTGTGCAATCTGGTGCTTGACTAGCACGTCTTGTGTTCCGTTTGTCTGTACTTCAATGCTACGTTTTTGGCCCAATTACGCTTCTGTGCCGTCCGACGAAAAGCTATATCGTCAAACTGGAGCCAAGTACTAACGGCAGCGCAGCTCCCATGCGCGCACAGTTCGTTCCCACTACCATCTAACGCAGTTAGCAGTGACACCTCGAGCACTCCAGAGCGATTAATGCCCTATATTCTTGCAGTTCCTAGTTCCCTGAAAGCTGCTAACGCCAAACTTTTTGCAAAAGAAGTGCAGAGATCAAATCGCGCCTCGTCTCTGGGGCTGCCGTGAACAGCAGCTGTGGGGGACAGCAGATGGGGTGGACTGGCGTGGCGACTCCGCTTGGTCCCCTTATGCGACCCAATGCCTGCTGCGTTTAAAAGGTACCAAAAGCTTTAACGAAATACAATTCCCTTGTTAAAAGGTGTATTCACCTCCCCCTGCTACGTTCAAGAACACCACTTCCCTAAATTTACCAGGTGACCAGATTACCCTAAATACTGTCATGCTTCCAGGGCACCAACAGCACGCGTAGCACTGAGCAGTAGTAGTTCACTCCCACTTTTCTGCTCGGGAAGCTACGCACGTGAGACCTCTTGCGTCAGCCTTGTATCCCCGACTTTGTGATCTCCATGCCCTGCAGTCCACCGACATGCGCCCACCTCTTCGTAGTAGACACGAAGTGCGGCGACTGCTGGTGAAAAGCATGAGTCAACAGGCTCATGCAGACGGCTCCGATCTCCTCCTAGATCCAAGCATGACTCGCTCGTGCCCAAAAGAGCAATCTACCGGGTAAAGGGAGATCGGTATAACAATTCACTCACCAAGGGATACAGACAACGACCTCGATCATACGCCTACTGGGTGCATCCCTCCACATGCTACTAACTCACTGACTACGCCCTTCTGGACACAACCGATCCACAAGAAAGAAACTGTTCTTGTGACTGCATGTTGCTGCTGCATCACGTTGGGGTCTCCTGGCTGCGCAGACAGCGCCGCATATCCGAAAGTCCTTCTGCGTAATCAATCTGCCCATCATTTCCTGGGCATTATTCTCCGCATTGGTGCAGAAATAGGCAGGCGCCACCAAACTGCTCCCATAGGAGAAAGCCTGCAAATACCGGCCGAATTATACCTGCAATATACCCCGCGACTCGCTTTAAAGGAACCAACTAGCAAACAATATTTCCGTAGACGACCACTAAATGCCTGTAGCTCTGAAGACAGCAAGCTCCAGTCTCTTGCCTATTCCAGTGCCTGGTCTTCAATTAGACACTGGACGCTCCTGTTGGCTCCTGCGGTGCGCTTGTTCCTCTGCTGGAATTGTCATCTTCGTTTTCTGTCTGTTTCTTTGCCTCTTTATCAGCATTTGCCTCAGGTTCATCTCCCCATTCATAAAGAGATGGGTCCACGCCCTTCGATCCAGAGTCGGCGAGAGCCCTCACTTGCCTCTTTCCCTGCGTGAAAACTTCGTCTACCCACTGGCGCAGATCTTCAGGCTTGATGGATTTGAGCGTATGGACATCATCTGTTAAGAGAAAATACACACAGAAGTCAGCATTCCCTGCTCTTCTTTGGCTGCCCTCTGGCCAAGATGCGTGAAAAGATGCTGAAAAGCTGTACCGAGTCTGTCTTCAGCATGGTCTTAAGCCACATTTGGATGCTGTAACTACATGCGAATGGCACTGTCATATGTGGATGCTGTTAGTACATGCGAATAGCACTCACTTATCACTTCCAAGCGGCTGCGGCCTGGGCCGTCGGCCGTTTCTAGCAGACGAATGGAATCATCAAGCGGAACCGTTTTATCCCCCGAGCCGTGTACAATCAGCACATATGGAATTCCGTGCAAAGTGAAGCCATTGCGGAGACGCATGAAGCGAGAGTACTGGTCGTGGGCGGGGCAGAGCAACAGCTGATGGAGCACGCTCACAAACAAGGTGAAACAAGCACAATAGCATCAAGCCTTCCGAAAATGCTGCAGTAGAAGTACTAGCCCTTCTTCTCCTGCCCTGTCTATTGCCAGTCTTACTTTTATGCTCCTGAGATCACAAGGGTCTGTGTACTGCCCCTAAAGAAAGACCCAAATGTGATAGTAGACTGCGAAGAAATAGCTGAAACAATCTGGCCAAATTCTCACCATGGGGACTTTCGGAATATCCATGCTCAAGGCTACAACAGACCCAAAGGAGGTGGCGACGATGACGTTTGACCGTTGCTCTCTGAATTTCTTCTCGGCTATGCGAATAGCCTTAAGCCACATGAAATGAGTGGCAGCTTTCCCTCCAAACCAGTAGGTTATCACCAGCACTACTGCCTACGCAAAAGCATCCGCACGAAGTACTATCAAAGACAAATGGAATTAATAAAAAGTACACTGAACTGGCTGGAGTCCCAGCTGTGACTGATATCAAACACACATTGGGTCCTGAAGCATCACGGTTCTGTTACCGTTTACAAAGCATCAGAAAAATCAAAACATGCAGATGCTTCTAATGTCTGTTGCTTACCGAACCCAATAACACGCAAAGCCCGATATACCACTTTGCCAGCACAGCAGCAGCACTGCAAAGGGGAACACGCAGGCAAAAAGACAAGAGAAGGCACTTTCAGTCACCGCATTCCAGGGTAGGGTAGTTCTCATGTAGCAGCGAAACAAAGTAGACTACGTCAAACACTCCATTTGCCACAACAGAAAAGGAAGCGGGGAAACCTACATGATCCCGCTGAGTAGACAAATCGCTAAGACGAGGAAGCCTAGCACAAACATCATGATGGTTTGTCTCGTCTTCAAGTTGGGAGCTTTAACCCTTTGCTTCCCAAGCGCCTTCTCAAGCAGCCGCTGCTTCTCACTGCCTGGGGCGGAGTCCAGCTCGTGAAGGAAGAGGACCCTCAGATCCTGGTGATCTCCTCCTCGAAGTCCGCCCTTAGGTGACGACATTTTAATCACCTTTCAGCTGGTGAGTTGTGAAAAGCGGTCTCAGGGAAAAAAGACGATAGTTTCAAAACAGTAGAAGGGAGTTAAGACTTTCCGGTCTACCACCAAGGCTACGCATGTGAACCACGCAGCGGCCTAGGTACAGCAATAGATTAGGAGATCCTTGCTGCTGCGTTTGCAGCGGCTGCTATTGCAACTGCTGCTGATGATGCCACAATCGAAGATGCAGATTATTCTACTGCCTCGGAAGCTGCTGCTAATGCTAGTTGCTGCTTGCTGCGCCTCCGATGCTCCACAGGCTAACGTCAGCTTTGCTGAAGACGGTGAGAGGTGACCCCCAGGAAAGACAGACCGGCCAAATCCTTAAAAGCTATGTTATGCCACTTCTAAGGTAAACCAGGGAAACTGTGCTTGCGACGACACAGCTGCTGCTACAATTGGGATCGCAAAAACCACTCGACCGTCACCGCTTACGCGGCTAAGGGAATAAAGGGAGCAGGAAGAAAGCTGGAAGACACTGCCACGGCAGACGAGTGCTCAGTAGCTAAAATTCATAAAAAACGCCTGGATAGCACCCTGATACCGCTGTTATTGCTATGCAAACGCCCTGCTTTTTCCGTGTGTGTGTGCCGGCATTGCCCGTCCCACACTGCCGCTTCCTCTAAGATGGCGTTTGTCACCGACTCTTAAATACAAAATAAATCCTCAAAAACAATTTTTCCAAAGCCCAAAGATATGTTGGATGTCTTGAGCTGTAGAAGCTTGAAATAATGCGGGTAAAATAATCAGAGAACGACGCCCCCTGCACAAGTGGTTAACACACAGGCACTAGTTGTGGTCCAGCCTGCTCGTGTTTTGAAATTTCAGCAGAAGAGAGGCAAAAAAGAGCATCAATCTGCTCTGAGGATACCAAAGAAAACAATGCGAAACAGAGGGGAACTTGAAGCAGAGCCGAAGAGAGAGATACCCTCGAGGCGAACATGCATCGAAATGCCAGCGAGCGTTTCTCACACTCAACGAGCCCCACAAACATCTACCGCCCTCTTGGCTATGTCTCAAAGACGGAAAAAAGACCTTGTCTTCAGCGAATAATATTACCTTCGCCAAACACGTGCCTAGAGAAAAGGGCTGGGGGAGGAAAGCAAGCCCAAACAGAACGCCAACGTCAACAGCCGCAAGTCGTGAAAAGCAGCCAACAAAGAAGCTGGGTCTGCGCTGTATGGATCTTACCGGATCGTTGTATTACTCAAAACTTTTTCATACTGTGTTTTTAGTTACTTCTCCTGGATCCAGGCTTTTGGTCGCGCAAAAGAAGGGTTCCACAGCCTCTACGGAAGTGAGGATCGCAGGAGGCGGGTGGCAACTGCTGCCCCCAGCCTCTTGCAGACAACACAGCCATGAAGAAACTACGTAGCCATGTAAATCAATTAATTATGTGGCATGCATTGATGCACATCCATGTGTAACTTTCTTGCCCCAGTTTTGTAGGGCTGCCACTCCTGACCGCTCCATGGAGCGCCACCGCGCAGTTAATGCTGTGTGGCATCGTGGCAACCAGGCGTTTGGCTACCTTTAGAGGAATTTATGCAGTCACAGCAAGTATTCACTTGGGTAACCCAAGAATTTCATGAATGCTTGCCAACCATGTACATGTGGATGCTGCCAAGTGGTCAACAGTGGACTTCGCCATACACACGAGGCAGCTGATCGGCTGAACAATAAGCGAAGCAATGAAGTTTGTGCTGATTATTGACAGTAGAATGGTCGAAATTCTCAAGGAGGTCGTGGCTGTATACACGCAGCCTCGTCTGCGCCTCACCTGGAATACCGCGGGCCTGTTGATAGGAAAGGGACTTCTCACCTGGAGGGGACAAGCGGGTTGCTCGGAACACTGAAATCTAGATTTCGAAACAGAAATAAAATAGCCTTTATAGCTGGTAACACGGCGTGTAGCCTGATTGGGTTCCACAGAAACAAAACAGCAGCGGCATCAAGAGAATAGTGCAATGCAAACATATCTACGCAGCAGAAATGCAGTAGAGCGCAGGAAGAACAGTACTCTAACAATGTTTGGACTCTGTAGGCTCTGCTGCAAGGCCCTGGCTAGAGGCTGGCCTTGTGGGGGGCCGACAGTGCCACGCTGAGGAGTGAGGCGTGGCTCGCGGAGCTTTATTTTGCACTTGTTAGCACTTCGAACTGTCGGTTTCCCAATATCTCCTAACCTACTCTTTTATCTGTGGTTGAAGCGTTTAGTGTTTCAGACTTAGCGTTTCATCTTAATTCGTAACTTTTGGGTTGCCCGTGGGGGTGAGGGCTCCCCTGTGGCGATTGCCCTTTTAGGAGCATCTTTGCTCCCCATCTTCCACATTCCTAAGCATCACTTCATCATTAAACTCACCCTTAGACCTCAGGAAAGATGTGTTCCGCTGTAGCAGGTGAAGCACCTTCACAAGGGTCAGGTCCCCGGTGCACTGTAATGAATTTCTGTATAGTTACGCGTAGCCGTGGAGTTTCCCAGTTGTCAAAAGCTTCTTGAAGATCAACTTTTAGAATCTGAAGGCCATGCATTGTATCATAGCGTGGAGAAGCTAGCCTATTGCACAGTGCTCCGGTTTCCTGCATCATAATGCACTTTTTGACATAGGCATGCGCATGTAAGCGAATTGCACTCAGTAAGCTGCCAAAAGTGAGAATCCGTGGGAGAAACCGTGCACTTTTCTACCTCTGGTGGAGTACAGATTTTCCGATCCCCCCGCAATGAATTCTTCGCTTGAAAACAGAGCATACCACGTCAGTGTACGCTAAAGCGTGAGGAGCACTAAATAGGTCGCAAGCCTGCTTGAACTAAATGCGCACGGTCCGTTTTGGGAGAGGCTGCCGACCTGCATAAACTGTCGTGCAGTGCATGATTCTAAAAGATTGAATGCGTCGAAAACAACTAGCCGCATAAGGAAATGAGCGTAATTGTACCAAAAACGTTGAGCTTAGAGGCTCATTAGGGAATTCTGGTTGTTCATACTCCAACCGTACGTTGTACGGTTGGAGTATGAACAACATGCAGCGTTTCTGGCATGAGATCAGCAATACGCCAGTGCGAGTCACAGTATCCTTAGGAGCGATATGCATCAAACAACCGGCGGGGAGCGCGCCAATATTTGTGCCTTTTTCTGTGATCCCTTTATGGCTGCTCAGGAGTCTGCCTTTGCAGAACTTGGGTGAATGGCTTGCCTACGAAGAACACACGGTATGTTTACTGAGAAAAAAGAATCATTCGGGCTCCTCGCTGACAGAGTATCCGTGTCGCATGCCCACAAAGTGGTTACGCACACGGTGAGTGCGGGAGACAGAAAGTTTGGGTCTCGAGGATGAAATGGACAAGGCACAGTGCGGAATCTTGCAGCCAAAATTAAGCCAGGTTAGAAAGTCTTGCCAGTTTGAAGTGGCCTGCATAGGCCTGCATACCCAAAGGTTTGGAGCAAATACCCCAGCATTTGCTTCCATGCCCAGATCTGTCCCCACTCACTTTGCTTGCAGCGGACTTGAGACCCTCGAATTGGAAATAATACTCTTTTAATCATTCTTTGCTTTGTGAACGCTGTGCCGACCCCTACTTCTTTCTAGTCAACCACCATAGCACGCACAGCCACTGTTGCTTGCTGGCCACCCAACCCCGCAGAACGCTGCAAGACAGTATATCATGAGAATCTTTGGACTCTATTCTTAGTGAAAATAGAGCGGATGCCTAATAACCTTGTTCAAGCGCTTCCTTCCACTCCAATGAGTCATCAATGCCAGATGAAGACACAGGCCTTACGCACAGCACATCAGCTGCCCTTCTGAGACTCGCATAACTTCGAAGAGTTGAAGAGTTTTCAATTAGTACATAGGTGCGGACAAGTGTGGAACTCGGATGCATGAAACGCCCACTTTCGACACAATTGACCGGTTCAGAATATAGAATGTGCAACCTTGATTTGCGAGGTATCTTTCAGCAGCTCGCCATGTTGAACACAGTACTGACCAGCGCGCATCACTACACTCTACGCTACTGTAAGAAAACCATAAGGAGGACTGTTGAGAGCAGAAGAGTAGTAGACAGACAAGTAAATAGAGCGGAAATTGCTTCTCTAGTGATACTATTCGGCCGGGTTACGGCTAACAAACTCCGTTAGGCGCTTTAGCACGGGGAGAGTCCTTGACGTTCGTCCATGATTCTCAAGAGGGTGCATTTTCATTAAAACTTTAATGTGCTTGCCGCTCTCATTACTTCCCCAATGCAGCCTTCCGCAGCGGCATGTGGGAATACATACAGCGTCTGCAGTATAAGAACATCTGACGATGGTCCTTCGCAATTCTCATCAAGCCTTTCAAAGCTGTTTTATGTGACAAGCTCCATATTAAAGAATTTCACCTGAGAGAAGTTTCACTTCGCAGCCCTCTCTCTCCCCGACATCACCTCGACGCTTGTCACCCAACACGCTGGAGAATCAAGTCATTTGACGCTCCTCAGCTGCCATTTAGAGTGCGTTGAGAAATAAAATTCTATAATATAAGCAATTTTGCGATTTCCCTCCGCGTTAAACGCTAAAATATTGTCAGAAACATCAATACTAAGCAGTAGGTACGGACCCCAACTGGCGAAGCCCAGCATCTGGGCTCAAAGCCATAGTTCGTACCACCGAAACTCAAAATGGAGCTTTCACTTACTCTGTACACTACTATGTAAGGTAGGGAAGCGTTTTTCTCTTCAACAGGGTGTCACAGATTTTCCAGTGGAAGTCGTTCCCCTTCCGCTCCGTGCTTCAGTTCCCCTCGGGAATGGAAATTCCACTACACCTCCGCTCATGTTGATAGTCTCGACTCCTGTAAGTTAGTTTCTACTTTATCATTAGGCGCGACAGCTTTTCGTCGTTTCATCCCAGGTGTGTTTTAACTACTCCATGCTCATGGACCACAGGCTTGCGTGCGGCCTCGCTAACCACACCCCAAAATGAAAGTTGCTGCATTGTTTTGGTCTACTGAGATGATACTACGAACAAGAGCTGGCAATCAAGCTGCTCCGATGTGGCATGCAGTAAATACACGCACATTCAAAGACCGGCACAGGGGTAAAGGGTTGGGTCAAGCACAGTGCACACAATTTAGTGCGAACAGGGTACTACAACGAGACAAGTTTTACTTATACTATTTTTAGTAAACAGAAAAGGATATCAGACAAACTAAACGGGAACGTACTTCCATTGCTGCCGTTGCTGGTTGGCTGCTGCTGACAGACCCTGCTGCGGCGGCTGTGGCGGCTGCCGTACTGGCGGCGGCGGCTGTAGCTCGCCAATTTAAAAAGAAACACGTGAAGAGGCAGTTGTAGTACAAATAGGGGATGACTTTTCCTGTCTCCCAGCTGTGCTGTATGGCAGCATCCCCAGCTCATCGCCCCCAAGCCCGTGCCCCTTCAGCAGTCATTTTCTCCTTGTCACCAGCATCAGGGACAGCAACAGCTGACTCTGCTGGTGCTGCATCTAGCGTTGTCTCGTCTTTATTTCACACGGGGGCCTCCCCCCTCAAGCCCCAAATCCCAAGCGCAGAGCGGCAGGCTGCTCTCTGCAGCTCCCCCCAGAAATGACCGCGGAAAGCACCAACAAGGCCTCAGAGGCCAAGGACTCCTCTGCAACAGCAGCCAAGGCGACAGGAACTGCTGCAGCAGCCACAGTGGACCCAAAAGAGAAGTACTTGCAGCTACTCACCTCCTCTCTTGTCCTGGTCAGAGATGCCGTTGAGACACAGGACCAGCGTTACATGCTGCGCATGCTGCGGCGTTTCAAGCAGCTGCGGCTGCAGCAACAAGAGCACCCACGGCAGCTTCTGCAGGTTTGCTCGCTGCTGTTCTGGGGGCAGCAGCACCAACTGCAGGGCGACGCCAGTAGCAACAGCATCGCCTATGGGAACCCAATCCACCTGAACCAGAAAACTCTGGAGTTCTGGCAGAAGCTGAGGGAAACACTGGAAATGATTGTCAACGAAAGGCAGGGCGAGGGAGAAATGGAGGCTGACGGGGTAACTCTTAACTCTTAAACCCTTAACTATCAACCCGCTGCACAGAATTGCAGAACTTAGCCGGCTCAGTCTGTAGTGAAGTTTAGCTTCTGGAGCTGCGGTGTTTTGGCCTTGCGCAGGTTCCACAGCAGCAGCAGCAGCCCAAGGAGGAAAGCGGTGCTGCAGCAGAAAATGCAGGAGCAGCAGCAACAGGACTGCGATCAGCAGCAGCGACGGGAAGCAAGGTGCTGCATTCCTTCCGCGTGTCTTCTTTCGTCAGCTGTATGCCGGAGGCGGAGGTTTTGCTTTCAACTCTCGTGCTGCTGCTGCTGCTGGACCCGCGTCCGCGTCAGCCGCAGACGCAGCAGCAGCAGCAGTGGGAGAAAGCATGGGAATTCAGCTGCTGCATCATTGAGAGGGTCAAGCAATACGACAGGCGATCTCTAGACAGACTTTCCGCAAAGGCGTGGTTCTACCACAGCAGGGCACTGGAGCTTTCCAAACAAAACTACGACTGCCGCGCGTAAGACTCAGGACTTGTTGTTAGGCCTAAGGGTTTCGGCATTAGTGGAGTTCATGTTCACCTTTGGGAAGCATAAAGCACGCTTTCTTTTTTCTTCGAACCGAGTCCTTTGCTTTTCTGAAGTCAGAGTCATTCTTGCTGCCTCAGTGAGTACCGAACGCAACGGACTCCGCAGCTGCAGCAGTTCCCATTACCTGCTGCAGCAAATTGTGGTTATGTTTCTCGTATCTGAAGGGAGTATTTGGCGGCTTACCGCGCTGCAAGCGCAAGGCGGGACATTACTACGCAAGCGACTTTGCTGAACATGCTGCTTAGGCTGTTTGTCTTAAGCAAACAGTACGACGTGGCGCTCAAACTGGTACCTTGCTGCTGTTGCTGCTGCTAGAGCTCGCGGCAACTCACAGGGAGCTCTCCATACTACTCTTCATCATGCAAAATTTGCTGCTTCTCTACTGTCACTGCTGCTGCTTCGGCTCATAGCAGTGCACTGAAGATTACCGTTTTCTGCTTGCAGGTCCAAAAGACAGCATTCCCTGAGGGCCTCCAGTCAAACGCGCAGCATGCGCGTTACCTGTACTATCTGGGTATGTTGTTGTTGTTGCTGCTGCTGCATTAGTTGGTTGCCTTGCAGCAGCGGGAGAAGTACTTGTGCTTTGTTTTGTCCGCTGTCTTGGCCTTCAGTCCTACCACGGCTGCTGTAGCTGCTTTAGTTGTGGCTGCTGTTTTGGCGTCTGCTGCTGAATCATTTGCTGCTGCTGGCCCATCAGCAAATACGTGAGCTGCTTTTGCTGCTGCAGGCCAAATCCAGGCAGCCCGTTTGGAGTATGGTTCGGCTTTCTCTCAGCTTCAGTTGGCGCTGCGCAAGGCCCCACAGCAGCCGACCATTGCACGCGGATTCAGGCTAGCGGTGAGAGCATATAATCATTAGGTGGAACTACTGCAACGGCAGCAGGGCAGCTGCAGCAGCACGGGCCCTGCAGATCTTTCTGTGGCCGTAGCTGCCAAGTCAGCTTTCTCGCTGTTTGTTGCAGGCTCTCAAGAAGTGCATCGTCGTTGAGCTGCTCATGGGGGATATCCCGGAACGTTCCCTCTTTAACAAACAAAACATGCATGCGGAGCTTGTGCCGTACAGAGAAATAGTCCTGGTGCGTTTCTCAGCCATAGCAGCAGCAGCAGCTGAAGCTTTATGAGCTGAAGCAGCAAAGAAAGCCGCAGCGGGAAGAGGAAATTAGCACAAGACTTGGCCGGTCACCTCCACTTGCATCTTTTCGCTGCGCGTGTTACTGTGTGCTTCTGCCTTAGGCTGTTCGGAGCGGTGACTTGCATGCCTTTGCTTCAGTCCTGCAGCAGCACGAGCAGCGGTTTAGGCTTGACGATACTTACACTCTGCTGTGCCGACTGCACCAGAATGTCATAAGGGCTGGTCTCCGTATCATTTCTCTTTCGTATTCCAGAATTTACCTGGTGGGTTTACACTGCTCTATCCACTGCAGCAAAAATGGCCGTAGCGGCTGATTTCAGAATGGTTCCTGTTGGACCTGCGCAGCGCGGCGTGCCGGCATTGTGGCTGCTGCTGTGTTTCTCCGTGTCAGTTTGCCGCTTCTGCCTTTTCTGTGGTGGCTTATGTGAGGAATCTGTGGGTGCTGCAGCGGGACTGACAGCTCCTTAAGCACAGCCCGGTGCTGCACCTCCCCAACCCCGCAGCGAGCATGGCTGCAGCTGCCTTCCCGAGAATGCTGTGTGTTGACTCTTTGCAGAAAGACATAGCCAAGAAGCTAGGACTGGACTCTGCAAAAGAGGCTGAGGCAGTGGCGGGAAAGGCTATTCTGGACAGAGTCATCGACGCCACCATCGATCATGACAAACAGTTCCTTCAGTCGAAGGTGCGCCTCTTTGCCCCCCGCCTAGGGCTACTCGTTTTAGCCCGAGGCGCTTTGTCTTGTATCTCGCTGTGCCATGCGGGCTTTCATTACTGTCGAAGCCGGCCTCATACTCAGTTTTGTGTAGAGGCATGAAGATAATGAGTTTGTGGTCGCCGCTCGTACTGCATTTGCTAATTGATGCGCAGGCTAGTGTGGACCTCTACGCGTCAAACGAGCCGCAGAAAGCTTTCCACCGCCGCATCGCCTTCTGCCTCGATCTGTACAATGATGCAGTGAAGGTGAGAAGCAGCAGCAAGCCTGCTGGCAGCCCACAAGGCTTACAGCAGCAGCCGTGCAAGCCGGTAGCCCGTGCGCGTTTTCTGATACCACGTTCAGGCGATGCAGTACCCTGGCAGCACTGAGCGGCAGCAGACTGCAGAAGATGATGAAAGGAAGAGGGCAATGCAGGAGGAACGAGCTCGCGTGAGTTGGCGGCTATGGCAGCAGCAGCAGAAGCACCTTGGGCAGCAGCTGCTGCAGAATCAGAACGGACAGTACAGTTCTTGGCTGTGGTGTCGTTAGGAGCCGCCGGGATAATGCGCCTTCATGCATACACTGCATTTCCTTTCGTGTGGGATGAATTCAGGCGGAGGATGAAGATCTTGGAGATGATATGGATATGATTTGAACTTCAGCGGCAAATGGCAACAGCTGCAGCACATCAAGCTCGAAGGGCAGTTCCTTCCAGATTCCTCTGTTGGGGAGGCCTGTCGTGGGTCTTTGCCGCTTATGCATGCTTTGGATTCCTGGTGATCGCATGCAGTGTCGCACCTGTGCCTGCGTGTGACTTCCTTGAGCAACAGCTGTGTGCACAGCGAGACTCGCATGCATGGATACGCATGCTGCCGTTACATGAGTACTAAAAATCAAATTCCCTTGCTTGGGATGGAACTAAATGAGGCGCATGCATGTTGCACATACAACTGAGCGCGCACTGTGTCTCTTTACTGGCGCCTTCATCTAGTGCTACAGTTAAAAGACTTTGCCTCACACTTCCGGGGCCGAGGAGACGTCGATACTGGATAATAACTCGTAGTGGTATTGCTCCTTGCATCTCTACGGATTTTGGATCGCCTACATTTACTGCTACAGTGAAAAGGCTTCGCTTCACTGTCACAGGGCCCACGAGGCAGCGACATTGGACAATATCAGTTAGTGGCATTATTGCCGTTTCTTCCCGCTGGCACAGCTGCGACGGCTGTTTGCTGCGAAAGGCGCAGCCTTTGCTGCAGTTCGCGGTACTTCCTGCTGCTTCGTGTAGCGCACTAAAACAATTGAGTGCCCAAGTGGGCGTCTGGGGGTTTTGCTCATCGCACCATAAGAGACCCAGGCTCACTTGCTGCTGGAGCAAAGACGCGAGAGTTCCATGCCCTTCATGGGGCCAGCTGTAAAAGTTATGCTCCACGGAGTTTAGTCACTCCATTGTAAGAGATTCCGGTTCACTTGCTGCTGCAGCAAAGACGCGACAGTCCCATGGCCTTCATGGTCCAGCTGTAAAAGATAAGCTTGACGGAGTCCAAATAACCGGCAGAATCGCCATTTGGCAGGCTATGTAGCCGCCTTGTGCGTGTGGCAACTTGTCTGCACCTCGTAGTTAAGCTGGGCGTTGATGCCGAAGCTGCGGGGAGGCACTGGGTAGGCGAAAGCTTTCTTTGGGCCCCGCCTGGCAGCAGCAATTGCTGCAGCGCCACCTACAGGCGACACCGGCCCGCTGCTGCTGCCCGTGCCAGAACAGGGCACCACTGACTGCGCATGCAGCGGCACGAAAGCCCTTGGGACAGCAGCGACTGGGGCGGGAAAGACACTTTGCGCGGCGCACACACTTGGTACCAAGACGCCTGCATTCAGAGGAGCACACAATAGAGGGGAGCCAATCAAGTTCAAGAGAAACACCAGCTAAGGACAGCGCATAACACTAAAGAACAGCAGTATAGGACAGCAGCAGTTCATCTGATACTCTGAAGACCAAGCTATTTAAAGACTCACCGCCGTATGGCGGAGGCGCAGGCGGCCCAAAAAAGTACTGTGCGTGTTCTTGGGCTGTTTGCTGGCGTCCGGCCTGTCCTGCCAGCTGCAAAGCTTGCTGCAGCAGCAGCAGCAATTCGTCTACTAACTCAAGGTGCTCCTTCTGTGGTAGGCGGCTTCCGTTATGCTGCTGTAGATCTTCACAGAATGCGTTTGCCTGGGCCACTGGCAAGCAGCGATACGCTGCTGCTGCCAGTTCTACAGCGGGTGCTCCACTAACTTGTGCTTGCCGCAGCAGTTGCAGCGTCGTGTCCATATCTAACAAAGGCCCCAAGCCTCTTGTTGCATGCACTACAGACATAGGGTGTGCTGATGGTGCTGCTCGCAGCAGCGCAGCAACTGCATCATCTTGCCGATTCAGGGGCGCGCCGGCTGTTGCTGCTGCATGCTGGTGCACCTGCTGCACTGCTCGCCGCAGTTGCTCCTCTGCAGCAGTGCTTACGGGCCTGCTGCGGCTTGCCCTTTCCCACATTGCAGCAGCGCGGGCTGGAGGAGAAACTACTCTACCTAAACCTTCGAGCCCTGCCAGAGGGGACAAGTAGTCAGCCATTCCGCAAATGGCGTTGGCTGCCTCCTCCGGGAAAGCATAGGAAGGCAAAGAAAGGAGAACTTGCAGAAGAGAGACCCCTGGGATACTGCCCTTAAGGCGGGAAACCCAGGAAATGATGCTACGGAATAGTCTTCGTGCTTCGGAAGACAAAGCTGCTGCTTGTGCGGCTGCTCCTTGTGCTGTTGATAGTTGGGGCGAAGGCTGCTGCTGATGCGCTTGCTGGCGAGTATCCCGTTGTCTTTGCTCCTGCGGATGTGCAATGAGCTCGACAAGTTGCTTGATTATTTGTAGGGCTTCGTTGTTGTTGTTTGCTGCTGGCGCAGCTGCACCAGACGTGACCCTGGCGGTTTGTGGCTGCTGCAGCTGCTGCTGCTGCTTTATGGCTAGTTCTGTCAGCTGCTGGCTGAGCTGCTGTACTTGCGCAGAAACCCCCGCAGCGGCTGAGAGGTCTTCTGCTGAAGGCAGCTTCAATACGCCTGCAGCAGCAACTGGCTCTCGGTTCTTAGCGGCGATGCTTTCTAGCATGTGCTTCATCATCTGCTCCTGACCTCTGCTGAAATCTGTGAAGCATTCGCGCATGGACTGGAGGGCAGCTGCTGCCTCCGACTGCAGCAGCAAACAGCACAAATATATGCACATATCTCTGCAATTCGTCTTTTCATGCCACACAACAGGAATCCGTAGCAGCAGCAAATGCAGCAGTACAATCGGGTGCCAGAGCTTTTGCTGCAAGGACTGCAGCGGCCGAGTGGGCTGAACATACTCTTGCTTCTTGAGCAATTTGCGTCTTTTGGGCGACTTGAGCTTCCAGCCTGCTTCGCTCGGACTGAAGAGTCTGGATTTTCTCTTGGAGCTGGTTATACCTTTCTTCTGCAAGAGCTGCTGCTGTATTTGCTGCAGCAAGTGCTGCGAGGGCTTCTGCGGCCTTTTCTTTCTCTGCCTTGTATGCTTCTCGAAGCTCATTCACAACGGACTGAGAGCTTGCCAGTTGCTGGGCCAGAGCAGTTGCCTCCATCGACGCCTCCGCTTCAGTGGTAGAAGAGGCCTTTACCTCCTGTGCGCAACGGACACCAGCCCACCAGCCCTTAACTCTAGAATCGAAACCTCTATGTCTCAACTGTGGGCCGATTGTAAACAGGAGTCAGTTGAAACGCTTCGTAGGACATGTTTTGAGGCAAAAGAATCACCCTGCGTGGGCAAAGACAAAGAGTTCATGGCGCTTACATGCTTGGCCGCTTCAGTGTCTTTACGCATTTTCTGAAGCTCCGATTCTCGAGCCTCCAGCTTGGCTTCTGCTGCCTTGCAGTTACTCTTGGCCTCCGCCAGAGCTGCTCGGAGGCTCGCTGCCTCCTCTGTTAGCCGCATCGTTTCTGCTTGCGCAGATGTTGCGGACTTAGCCTGCTGCAGCGCCTGCTGGTGTCTTCCATCGAGGCCCTCCAGCTCCGCTTGCAGGTCTTCAATTGTTTGCTCCTTTTGTTGCAGGCGCTTCTGCAGCAAAAGGTGACAGCCGCAGCATAACTCATAACGAGAAATAAAATAGCAGCTACTGCTGCAGCTCCTCGCTGGACTGCTTCCTACCATGCCTGTCTGCTGTTCTGTTATCTCGCTGCCTCGGTTATTTACTTCGTGCATGGCTTCGGGCATTTGCTAAGCTTGTGCCATCTCAGGATGGACTCACTTTGTAAGAAGACAGTTCTTGCTGCTTCTTGGAAGATTCTGCTAAAGCTTCTGAGAGGGCCTCCTGCAATTCCTTATACTTGTCATTTGCAGACAACATGCTTTGCCTCCGCTTGGAAAGATCGGCATTTGCTGCTTGCAGCTGTTCGCTTGTGCGTTCCTGCGCTTGTCTGGCAGTCTCAAGCTGTTTCGTTTTTTGTTGTAACTGCTGCTGTAGGAGCTGCTGCTGCTGTTCTGCTTCTTCGGCTCGCCGGAACAGCTGCTGCTGCTGCTGCTTGATTCGCGTCAGCTCTTCCTGCAAGCCCTCGTGCTGCGCAAGTGCTTTGTCTCTGCTGCTTTTCACCGTTTCGTACTTTGTCGTCATTTCCCTCAAACGGCGATGCATGTCTTGCACTTCCTGGCCCATTTGCTCGACGCGCTGCAGCAAAGAGTTCCTAAAGCGGTCGGACTGTTTCCTTTTTTCTGACTCTTCTTCTAGTTGCTCCTGCAAAGCTGCGCAGCAAACAAGCCACAGCAAAAACGCCGTATAGACTCCAGCCACAGAGCTGTGAGTCACTAAGGTACTTGAACTCTAAAATGCTGCCTCTATGGTTCTTTCTAGATAGTGCAGCAATGCACAGACACAGGGGAGAGGCAAAGACAAGAAGTTAGAAAACCACAAGAAGAACAGATAGTGCAAGACGGAGAAAAACTGTTCGATAGAAGTTCCAGTCCCAGGGGCTTACCCTCCACTTTTTGTGTCGCCTGTTCCAGCTTTTGTTGCCACATCTTCTCGAGGCTTTTCCTCTCTTCTTTGTGTTTCTCTCGAAGCGTTTCCGTCTCTCCTTGGATTTTTTGCTTGAGGGTGGTCACTTCTTTCTGCAAGATTCCCTTTTCCTTGTCCGTCTCTTCTTTGTGCCTCTGGAGTTCTTGCTGATGCTGCTGCTGCTTTCTTTTCATTCTTTCCTCCTGCTCAGCTTCTAGAGCAGCCAGTCTTTCCTCCAGCACATGAGCTTTCTTGTCTGCTTTTTCTGTCCCTTTCCGCTTCAGAGTTTCAATTGCATTTTCGTACTTTTGCTGAAGCTCATCCAGCTGCTCCGTGTGCAGCCTTTTCAGCCGTTCTGTGTGTTGCTGGTTCAGAGCCCTTTCTTCATTTAGCTGCGCCTCCAGTGTGCGGTGCCTTTCTTTTGTGATTTTGTTCTGCTGCTGCTGCTGCTCTTCCAGTTCCTTCTGCAGCTTTTCGCAGCGCGCCGCCAGCACTTTCCTTTCGAAATCTGCTGCGTCTGCCTGCTGCTTCATTGCAATAGACTGACTTGTTGTTTCTTCCAGTTTCCTCAGAAGAGCCCTCTGAGCCTTGTCGCTGTCTACTTTTTCCCTGGCGAGTTCTGCTCGGTCCT